CCATTCAATTGAACCAATACTAGAATTCGTAGCAAAGTTAAATTTGGCCACGATCTTAGGGACCTACATTATTTTAGTGATCGTCATTATACTAATTAATTAATTAGCATACTAAAGGTAGGTTTATGATAGCGAATGAACACACGTTTTCCTGCTTAATTAGATATTCATATTGCATTAATAATTTAAGCTCGTATGCAATTAAGCTTTTATAATAAATTAACAATTAAAAAGGCAATTACATAGGTAAACATGCAAGCTATAAGTGAGTGAGATACGTGTATTATTATTAATTTGTTGGATTACTTGGATATTTCCAATGCTAGTGATGGGATTTGCTTTAAACAACAAGAAAATTGTTATTAATAGCAATAGATGACATATAAAATCGATCAAATGCCTAGTGTTTTTTCATGCATGCATGCATTTTGAAATAATTAATATTATATTTCTTAGAAAATGTATTTTATGTTTGGTGTACTTAACCGACAGAGCTACATAAGTATATCTATCAAATCCCTTAAACCTAATAGGCATACACGTGAGGTTCATATAGGCTAACCGTCTTGCTTGTAAGGTTTAAGGGCTCATTGTTCAAGCAATTGATTAACTTGAAGTTAAAAATATAACCACCTTAGATATGACATATAAAAATCTTAATATAATGTAGTATACAGTTAATTAGTTGGCAACTTGGCAATTGGCAATTTGGCATCGCAATCTCTTTACTCTAGACTAGCTGGTCATTATCAAAATCTCTTCAATTGCTTGAACAATGAGCCCTTAACCCTTACTTGTATAGAATTTACCTATAAAAATTATGATGCATGAATCCTAAGAGTATAATCCGGAGAAAAATTAGACGTAATAATAATTAATTATAACTAGTTAGTCTTAAGCAAGACGTGCAAGTATATACTTAAATTCATATACCTTCAAATTTCTAAGATATACATATTTTAGTAATATAAGAAACAATAATTATAAGTTGAATTAGGCGGCACATACATATCCTACAATCCTAGAAATGACGTGCTCCTAAACTAAGATCTAAAGTATATAAATTTTTGCTCGAAAAAAGTATTTAATCATACATACTAACTTTAATAGGTATAATACTATATTACTTACTTTTGAATTATTTTGACTGATTTAATTGAAAGTTGAGCATATTCTAATAAGTTATATATTAGATTTATTGTCCATTACGAAGTACTCCCCCCGTATATTATTTCTTGTTCTATTTATCTATGCGCGGAATTTTAGGAAAATAGTAGAAAATAATAAAATATGAAGGAAATGAGATTAGTGGAAGAATAAATTATGATAGTTGGGAGGAGAGGGAATATGAAAATATAAAAGTATGATAGTTGGGAGTCCACTAGGAGAGAAGAAATTTGTAAAATATTGTAAAAGGTTTTCAAAAAAGGAAATGGAACAAGTAATAAAATACGGCCATAAAAGAAAGGTGAAACAAGTAAATAAGAAGGAGGTTTTTTTTTTTTTTTTTTTTTTTTTTTTTTTTACACAAAAGGAGGGAGTATATACAAAGTACTTACAGTATATTTTTATTTCTTAAGTGTTAAAACTGCTAATGTGTTTAACAACAGACACCTTACGCTTGGGACCAAATTAAAGGTCAAAAAATACTAGCTAGGAGAGTAGGAGGGTATAGTAGAAATCTAGCTACATGTAATTAATTCACAACTAGCTAGGAGACAAATTAACTTAGTACGTAATTGTCATGTGTTATATGACACCAATAACCAATGCACTTATCACAGCTCATGCATGCACGTTGAAGAGGATGATGTTTCAATTAAAGCTAACCATTATTAATAGAAAAATGGTTACTTCCATTTATGTAGTCATATAGATTGTTGAACACTTGAACATGCATGTCATGTATTTATTTGCCAGTTGATGAAAAAAAGCTAGCTTTCAAAGACTTCTTTCTTGATTCCTCTGCTTTTTCTTAATGATCAACTGCTTCCTTTTTTTCACTTGTCAAGCTCTTTAAGCTCTAGTCATGTTCTCTCTTGGTGTATTGTCATTATTAGAGCGGAATACTAACCCAATACGCCAACATGATTCGAGACCGACACAAAGTTGCTTATTATTAGAAAAGCTCATATAACCTAATGTGATTTTGTATGCATATTTACACATTTTGGTATGTACAATCTAAAATGACATAAACACGACTTGTTTAGCCAATTTGCTAGCTACGTATGAAATTAGAGAGAGCTAGAAGTCTAGAACTTAAAAATACTCAACATCAAGCTCTACTACTTCTTGTACTTTGATGTATGTAGGGTTTTCTTCCTGATTATTAAGTATAAATTAATTTGTGCCATCTCTCTCATTTGTGTTTTTTTTGCGATTGTTGTGTTGTTATTATATGTTGTTTGCAACCTTGAGGAATTGAGATTACCTAAATCTTATCAAAATCCAACGAGCTTGTACTCATTATTCGACTACTTAGCTTGTTCCATTGGTATATACATGGGAAGACATCTAAACTAATTGTTCTTTTGAATTAAATGATACTCTGTAATTACCACGGAATTCGTCCTTCTATTGATTATTGTCAATTTCTCTTTTCAGGGACAAATTTTAATTAGATAGATTAATCATTCCTTTAAAACAAGTTGATGACTAGCAAATTCCACTTCCTATGTTAACACAAACACATATAGTGTGATAACTTCTTCGAACAATACAAGTTGCTGACTTGATGACCTAGACCGCGCCCTCTATATGCATTGGACTTTAACTTCTTACTGTCAACCAAAAAATTACTCATACCATAGGAAGTGCAACTCTCTAAGAATTGCAAATTCAAGGGATATATATCCATATAACTTCCTAATTACTACTAAGTACCAGACAACAACATAGTGTAATCAAACTTAAAATAACCAACATTTGTAAGAACTAATTATAGTAAAATTTTGTCCAATCTATTTCATTCTCATGCATACATATATAGTAAATTGTTCAATTTATTATTTTATTCTCGTGGATAATAATTTTTTTTTTTTAATTATTTTCATTTTTAGCTGAATTTTTTTTCAATGCAATGATAAGACAAGCCCTTCTCTTCTTCATTGATTATCATTTGTCATCAGTCATGAATTAGGAGCAGGCCAAGAGAAGTCCATCAAAGAAATTAAGAAAACTAGAAAAGGACCTGTATTCTGTTATGAACCACTGGGTACATTATTTACAAAATAATTTTTGATTTCATTTGATTTTTTATATTTCTATTATTTGATTCAATATATTTTTATAATTTCAAAATAAATTAACATTGCCTCTTTAAATTTTTATCACATACATTTTTCATTTTGGTTTGATAGAGAAAAACAATCCTACTTCGGCTACTTGCCAGATTGAAAATTAAACAATGCACATTTAGTTGACTGCAATAATGCAAATTTATAAATTATATGCTCTGAATATTCAAGCATCCCTTCTCAATGACCAAATAATAGATTTAAATACACTAGACTAAATTTAATATACTCAAAATTTAATGAGACTTGAAGGATTTGAGATCATTCGTTCTATATATCTTCTATTCATCTAATCTTCACTTGCATGTTGCATGAACTTTAGTTGTAAATTGAACTTGAGTAATCCTTATTAACCCTTATCAAAACTTGTGTAAACTTATTCTACTATCTTAGTATAAGTATTACGATCAAAATTATTTATGTAGATATATTATATTAGACCAGATTAAACAAGAACAATCCAGAAAAGATTAAAATAGTAAATTTCGATCAGAAAACCTTAGCTTGTTTCAGATGAAGACAACGAGTTTTTAACTTTCCCTACAAATCGATCATATGCTAACATTCTACGATACTAATATAATGTCTATAAATCATACAATACAATACAAGTAATACAAATTAAAGTAAATGATCAAAATGAAATGATGTTTATCTTTAGGACATATTTGTCCCATCTAAGCTAACACTCTCCAATAATTAACATTCCTAGTCAAGTCTGTCTGTCGTCTGGAATATGCATTCATTGATTTTCTTCTAAAAATCATTCACTAAAATATAATTTATTTCTATTATTTCATGTACATATAAGGAGTATCATATGCATATAGTATAGATTAGAAAGATAGATTAGAATAGGATAAAGATTTGATTTAGAGAGAGAGAAAATAAAGGAGAAGATTTGATTTGATTACTCATTTAGTGAAAGATCGAGTTCTTTATTTGTTAATAATAATGGATGTTTCTACTTATTATTTCTGATTATTGCATGTTACCATACATCTTGCATGTATTCACAAAAAGAGTTTTTGTTTTGTAGGATAAGTAAAAATGAATAGCGACATCACTATTGCTCTTTCTAGGAAGTGTATGGCATATATATATATATATATATATATATATATATATATATATATATATATATATATATATATATATATATATATATATATATATATATATATATCCGTATCTTTTATACTTGAACAAAATTTGAGCATCCGAATCTAAATGTTACGAGTACTTGACTAATCTTAATAATCCGAAATACGTACTTGAATTTGCTTATGTTGTTTGAACTTATTTTATCTGAACTCATATTGTTTAATTTTATTTGTGTGAAAGATCTTATTTTTTCAAAAAACTATATTTATTATGTCAAATATAGACTTATTTGCGTGTAAAATTGCTTAAATATGCCTTAACTTATTTTGTTTGAACTTAACTTGTTTTTGTTTAAACTAATCTTATCCAAACCCTAAAGTAGAACTGATATAAAATGCCCAAAGGTTGCATTGTTTGAGAAATTTTTCCCTGCTCTTTCTATTGGGCAATGGACAACAAAAAAAAGGTCAAGATTAAGAATTTCATTGCTAATTTTCGGCTAAAAAGAGAATTTAAACTCAAACTACGTGGTATTGAAGAAGGATTCAATAAATGATACGAACATGTTAATTTTACATTACAAACTAAATTTTGATAACAGGTTCTGGAGTTAATATTAAGAGCCATTTTCATTTTAACATATACGGAGTATAAACAAACATCATACTCCGATTTATAGGACAAGAATTTTTAGTGAACGTATATTTTCATTAAATTATACTTGTACTTTCAAACACAATAACAAAAACTTCAGATTGAAGGCAAAAATTATACAGCCAAGAATGAATGAAATACTGATATCACATCGCACTGAAGCATGCTTTGCTACAGATGACTGTCGTCAGATTCAACTCACTCTTGTTATTGTATGTGGTTAGAAGTCATGAGTCTCATGACTCTAACAAAAAGCTGAAGGTCGCGTAGTCTCTCTGGATTTCTGCTGAGGTGCATCATTCTCTTGTCCAAAGATGCAGCACTTGATGCATCCCATAGCCATTAATCAGTGTTTCGACTACCTTGGATATTTAGTTGTTAGTAACTTAGTACCATTATTTACAATGTAGTTGCCTGATTCTGCATACGTAGTTGCCCAGGAAAAATGCAGAATACATTTATTGCCTCTCATAAAACTACTCCAGTTCCTTCGTTATAATGGCTACCTTCCGAAAAGTCATTCTCAAATTCCCTGATGAGTTTTTCTATCTGCCTTCGGTATAAGGGCATCAAGTGATCGCTAATCATGCTATGAGAAAGCCTCAATTTACTATACAATGCCCTCGGAGTGAGGAATATCCCTACTTTACCCTCCATGGACTGCCTACTTCCACTATCACTTGATGTAACACTGCCTTCATCCTCAGCCACTTCTTGAAGACTGATTAAGTGCATTATTTTTCCCGGTGGGAAAAATCTATGTATTTCTTTAGCTTCAGGGGCTGAGCCTTCAGGTTCAGTAGCTCCAACCTCTTCCATTGCAGCTTGTTCTTCTTCTCTTATTTCCTTCTCCACATCAACATCCCCTTCAGCTCGATCATAAAGCTCATGCTCAAGTTGCTGCCACAACTCAACTTCGGTCATGAGATCTTCATTTCTTGGGCTCTCCACAAGGTCCTCACCATCTGCAACATCAACATTTAATTCACTCTGCACATGTCTTGCCTCAGAATAAGAGCATCCAGTTTCCGAATTCCACTGTAATCCCTCAGATGAAGATAAAGGAAGATCCACGGTCTCAGAGGTGGATTCACGTGAACATCCAATGGGAGGTTCGGAAGTTTCAGTGATTATAGGAGCAAAATCAGAGGATTGCTCTTGCCCGTCTGACAGCACTGTGTTGGCACGTCTCCGAGGTCCAATGCATGACCATGAAGAAAGCACAGCGGGGCGTCTCAATGCCGCATGAGCCATGCTCTGGGCTCTTTTCATGACAGCCTATATAAAATCACAAAAGGCATTCAAGCATCAGTACAAAATATGGGTCCCTTGAGTAAATGGAGGATCCACATCAAAAAGTGAATCCAAAAAGTAGTTCCATAGAAAAAAAGAATGTGAGAACAATAGGCTAAAATGAGTATACAAATAACAAAAAATAAAAATAAAAATAAAAAGGTCCAGCAAGGATTCTCAACACAATACATATAAACACAGGCAGCACTCTATGTCAATCAAAAGGCCCAAGTTTTTCTATTTGGTTAAGATCTAGGCTATTTTTCATATGTTTTATTTTAAACCCTCAATCTGAAATTAAAAATAATATAAAATCATACTAGAATACTTAATGGAGGTGCATAGAGAGAAAGGGAGCACCGATATAGATCAGGATGTTAGGTCTTTCAAGAGCTTTAGAAATATATAGATATTCCTTTCATCGCCCCCCCCCCCCCCAACCCCCCAAGAGCATCAAAACATTTCATCAGGCACTCTGCAATTCCGTCAGAGAGAATGAAAAAGAAATGAGCGGGGCATAAAAGAAAAATAAAATCCACACGTAAGAGAGATTACCTGAGTACCACTAGAAACAGGTCGAAGTACAGCGCCAGCACCAGCAACTTTTGCTCTAGCGCTAGCACCCAGCGCTGAAGCAGAACGATACACAGTGCTGAGAATCCTGGTCTGCTCAATTTGATTCCTCAAATCGTTCAGCCATGCAGAGGCTGTCACCTGAATAAAAATTTATGTACAAACGTTACAGATTAACATATTGTCACTTGTCCCTAAAGGCTGAAGTCCTGAAGATAGTTCTTGGTTGAACTAAGTACTTAATATAAAACCCAAAAAAACTTTAAAAAGATTTAGAGAAAAGACCTCCGCTCGTAAATCATCTACTGATGCCGCTGAGAAGGTTGGGACTAAATCAGCCCCATTTATGATGGAAGTAATTACATCCACGCCTGATTCTGCCAATTCCCATGTCATGCAAGCCGCTGTTTTCAAATAACCAGTTAGTACAAGAAAGGTTGGCAACAAAATAACAGTAACATGAAAAATTAGCATGCCTTACTCACAAAGTTATTATCCAATAAACTACAGAGCTCTAGAAAATAAATCTTATGACGACAAACCTGGAGCAAATGTGACACATGACGTGGAAGATAGTTCCTTCTGCTCACGTAATATGAAAGTTAAAAGAGCTGCAGTGCCCCCACCAAGAGAGTGCCCAACAATCTGCAAGCCAAGTGTAAGCACATTCAGATAAGCATAATAACCCTAGAACATGAGACACATTTGCTCGCATGAATACAGATAACAAAATTAGAATACTACCATGTAACTAGCAAAATTCCGAGATCAACAAAATCAGAAACATGGAAATAAACTTTAGTTTAATGATGATTCAGCATACAATAAGCATTGCTGCACATATGTAGCATTATCTGCAGATTAGATGACAGGCAGCAAGCGCAGAACACAGCATTTCATACTGGGCATGTCCAGCAGCAAAGAAGCATGAGTAAAACAATTATTTTGTCAACCCGTTTCACTGTGTGGAGAACAAATAGGGGAACCAAAATTTTGTCCACTTGATATCAAATATATGAATTCGCAATAATGAAGACAGAAAACAGCAGTGGCATAGTGTTCTTTTTAAGCAAGGTAAAGAAAACTACAAGATCCTCCACTCCATACATAAAACTTCATGCTGAAGAATGTAATTGATCTCATGCCAAGGGATCTAAGTCCTCTATTGTAAACAAATTGGTGTGAATCACAATTGCCAATCAGTCGAATGCATGAAGGTGCATTTAACAAAACCAGTAAAGTGAACTTGATAAATAAATTTTCACTTTAAGACACTATGCACCAAACATAATCTCACAATGGCACAGACCATTCCCAGCGACAGATAAATAATTTAAACAAGTCTTCACCTTCAATTTATAATCAGGATGCTCATCAAGAGCTTTAATAATACATGGTGTTGCTATCTTAGCGATCCATCGAGCAGCTGCAACCATTCCACAGTGCGCATATCCTAAAACTAAATCGCTTACACCTCCTTCCTGGACAACAGTGTGATGAAATGGCACAACCGCTCCAGTGACAGCAGTCAGAGTATCCTTGATACTGTGAGTTCCACGAATCAGTAATAGTAAACCCTTATCTTTGTGATCTATAAGAACTGTAAATGCAGGCTTCAAAATCTGCACAGCACAACAAACAGGTTAGTTCCATTCAGTGCTCCCTCCAGACCAGACCCGCAAATTTATCATCAAATTGGAGTTCCGATCTTACAAACATCAGCCATGAATATTAATAGATCTCTTCCTCACTTCACTACCTTTCCTCTGGACCTCACCCACGGAAAATAAGGATTCAAAAAGCCAAACAATATCCATAATCCTTATGAAGAAGCTTTGCCTAACATCACAAGTTACTTGAGGGCTGGCATAGTCCTTTACTCCTCCGTAGTTCCTTCCCCCCCACCCCAATTATACAATTTATTATAAGCCAGTGTTGGCTTAAAAATAGATATTTCCTTTAAAGAAGCATGTAAATTTCTTTGGAATAGTGAGCATAAAGCTGAATGATTTTAAGCAGCTTTCCAAGGTTTGAATTTTGAAACTTTACTAATTCACTGCAATTCAATTTTCTCATTTTCCTATGTTACAGTAATTTTCCTATTCCGTGCAAAGTATAGCTTATCCAAAATTTTAATTTTTCAACTTGAATTACTAACATTAAATCTCTGCAGGCACATCAATCCTCTTCACTCTTCAGTCATTTCACTAATTCAAGTTCATACAAATCATATATACTTCCTCCGCTTTTTTTAGTTGCATCACTTTAGTTTTCACAAACTCGTGGGCAATTTTCGGAGTAGAGAGACGTAGAGAGAAAAATAAATAGGCCCATGTTATAGGAGAGAGGTAGAGAGAATTTATTAGTTAAAAAGAAAAGTGATGCAACTAAAAAAAAATGGAGGAAGTATTTGACAGTAAAAACCTTGAAAAAAAAAAATTACAATGCTCAATAAGTGAGATCTTTTGTCATAACTCAATAAAAAGAAAATTTTGGTTGTTATGAGCAAGTGACTGTAGTAGAAGGTCATGGAAAACTAAATCATTCTTTTTAATAGCTCCCTCTGACCCTCATATTAATTAAAATACTAGCTTTTCAAAGCCACAATTTGTGAACTTCGCATAATTTTTCAATACTATTTTAAATTTACCGTTATACATGGGATCTCAAAGATTCATTCTGATGCGTATCTTCAATAAATATCAACTATTTACAGATACCATTATTATATAACTAAAATTATCGTTGTTCAAAGGTGCGCCCCCGGAAACAGTAAAAGCTGAAGTTCCTATGATAAAAGATGTAGGACGTGATAACTATAAATACTATGTTCATCATAAACTAATGTATCCTAACCACAGCCCCTAAGATAGGAATCCATAACGTAGCCCATGCGAAGCACATGCAATAGAGAAAAACAGGGAAAAAATCACACAAAATGCAAAAAGTTGCACCAGAATAATCCTTGATTTCCAAGATTAAGGAAATGCACCATAATTTACCCCAGCTTTAGGTTCCTGAAGAAGAACATCTTCTAAAGTATAGCCTGTCTCCTCCAAAAACAGTGGGAAAGGCTTCTTTGAAAAATGCCAGCAAAGAGTTAACAATTTCAGGAGATATTTAAGTTCCACAGCTATTTCTGGCCCCTTTAACTGTACACTATCGTTTCCTCCAAATACATCTTGGACACATAAGTTTCCCTGGAAAGAAGTATTACGTTAAAAAATTAGCCAAGCAAGACCCAAAGCCTTGTACATTTAGGCACCCAAGTAATAAACAGTAGCACTAGTATAGCTGATAGGCAGCTGAAAACTATGAATAAGTCAGCACACCAAATTTAGTCAACTTTTAAGCAACAAATTTAAATTTTAAAAAAAAAAAAAGAAAAGAAAAGGAAAAAAAAAAGCAGGTCCTGGATAAAAGGGATCAAAGAGACAACATGACCAAACAACCCAAGAAGAGTAAGAAGACTAAGGACTTGAAATGGAACAGTTATGACTCACCAATCACAAGAAAGCATAAAAAGAGATAAAAATACACATAAATATCTAATTCAAGTGATGAATAAAAAGTAGCCCAGAGCAACATAGACTTCCAAAATTATATGAAACTCTTAAGTTGTGAATCCTTATGCCACTGTACACCAGATTATTGGCTTGATCACAACTTACAAAACCCTTAAAACAGTCCTAAGAGAAAAATATTCAATAAGTGTAATGGAACCAGAGTATAATTATTTGTTATTAGCAAATAAATAGCAATTGGATACTTATCATTTTAGATAGAAAAAAGTCATATCCTAATCCCAAAATTCCCAACAATGGGTGTATTTATTCCCAAGAATCACAACTATGGGTTCTTCTAGTAAATCCAAGTTATTGGATGTATATCCCAAAATGAACTGGTTACAATCGATCTTGTGGGTCACTTGGCCACATGGCATATGTGACTGGTTTTTTTTAAAAAAAATTTCACTAAATAATCAGCCCCTGACTCCTTTCTCCCCCTTCCCATGCCGGCAACAAACTCCTCTGTCCTCTCCCACCAAAACTCCAACATACAACACCTAGGAGCCTACTCTTCTCCCTCTGCCATCTGATATTAAGGCTTTCTCCCTCTGCCAAAAACCCCAAATTTTTGTTGCCGATCTCATCTCTCTCAATCCTCCCTTATTGGTATTGTGTACTCACCTTCTCTCTCTTTTTTCTCACTCATTGTATAAGAATGTGTTGATATTGACTTATTTGGAGTATGATTTATTTTATTTTTTTAATGGTAGTGGTGTTTAGAAGAAGGCTGCCTCAGTTGTGGCAGTGAATGATGGAGTTGGCAATACCAACCCATTTTACATGAAATTGGCCTAGAAAACTTGGTGATGGAAATACGCCATGGTGTTGGCTCACGAGTGATGCAAGAGTTGGTAGTGGATGGGGTGTGTGACAGTGGTTGGGCTGGTTGGGTTGGTCAAGAAAGGGAGTGGAGGTTGCCTGGGAAAGAGGTGAGAGTCAAGACAAGGTTTACCTGGGGATTGGATTAGCTAAGGCAGGGAAGGAAGAGGATCAGAGGAGAAAGGAAGAAAAAGAGTGAAAAAAATAATAATAACTAATTAACAGGTTACATAGATGCATTTTGAGAAGGTACCCTCTATAGTTAGTATTATTCAAGAATAGCCAACAGTTCTAAATAATCTAGAAAGACCCTCTATAATTTGGATTATTATTGTGGATTTTTCCTTTTAGATATGCAAAATAAAAGCTCCAAATGTTGTATAGTCAATCTTTGGCTCCCTGTCCCCTAAGAACATACTTCTCTAAGATCATTGGCTTCGAAGCTATTATAAGCTCACAATAGTGCATCAGCTATGTCCCAATAAAATGAAATCCTCAAGTGTTACAGGACAAGTGAGCTAACTAATCAAGTAATCATCCATGTTCTGTATACTAAAACTAACTTGGGCATACATAGGCAGTATTGTTCCTAATTTTCAAATTCCTTAAGTAAATATACTTCCCCATCAAATCAATGATCAATCAAAATGTAAGCTACAATTAGCAGGACAATAATTTATATGTGACGTCCACTGACACAAAACTCTAGAAACACTCAAGATGATCCAGTGAAACAACAGCTAATCATGACCAGCAAAAGGCTGTGATATACAGTGATAAAGGTTGCTAAGGGGCGATGAGCCGATGACAGACTTCCATAACACCTCCCCCCCCCCCCGCCCGCACCCCCAAGCCTAACCAACTAGACCAACTAAATGTATATACTTACATGTCAATTGTAAGTAATCCCTGTGTTCCCTTAATGAGCTCAACCATTGGCACCAAGAAGTTGCCAGCTTTCCAAAGTGGCAACAGGTTCTAATCTTTTAAAAACACCACATGCAATAACATTGGTACTATATATTAGCTAGAACAAAACTTATTGACTTCAATGGTTATGAGACACAAACAAAGTTCAAACACTTAGCTGCAGCATACTAATACAACACAATCAAAGTGAGGAAAAACAGACAAATGAAGGCATACCTGCCTCTTCAAAAGAAAACTAATGCCAAAGGCCAAGTCCCCAATAGGCCACTTCCCCAAAGTCTCAGAATAAGTAAACCGAAGCGTCTCCGATAAGGTTGAAATCGTCTCCAACCACGTCCCAGGCGCTCGAATTAGTCTAGTAGAAACCCTCTCAATCCCTAAAGGACCATTATTTCCGGTGACAACCGCAACATTTTCCTCTTCATCAATCTCAGCCGTACCCGATTGCAACTTCTTGTTTAAGGTATAATACAATAGTGCAGCTGCACCAGCAGCTGATGCCATTGTCACTGTTGCCATTAGCTTTGAATAATCTCTACAAATTAAATTCCACAAAAATCAATAAAATTAAACAAAATTAATCACTTTTCATATCATAAATTAACCGAATTCAACTAAAAACAATAACAGTATTAAGCATAAGAGCTTCACCTGAACATAATAATTTAACAAATACGAGATAATTAAATCGCAAAAACCCTAAAAAATCCAAATTTTATTTTTCTATTATAAACAAATAATTACGATACTAAAATTAAAAACTGAATAAGAAGAGAGAAATTGATAAGAAAAAGCAAATTAAAGCAACGAAAAAGAAGGAATGAGAGAAAACCTGGCATAAAAATTCCGGAAAAATTGGAAATTTGAGGGAATATGCGATTTGGGGGAAGATCTCTTGCTTTTCTCTCTCCTAAAAACTGCAAAAAAGGGGTTAAGGTTTTTGGATCGAAGCAAAGAAGTTTAAGGATTGGAGGAAATTGAGAGGTTAACGTTACTTGTTTTTTTTCTTTTTGGTGTGAATTTTATTTTATGTTTGGGTTTTTATTTGTGTATGAAATTGTAATTCTAAGGAGTTTTGTTTTTTTGGGTGTTTGTGTTTTCTTTATTTGTAAGGCAGGTACTGAATGTTGTGAATAGTAGTAACCGACTTCTACCGGCTAAACAACGTATGAAAGTTTGCCTAATTTGGTACTCATCACAAAAAACGCAGGTTCTTATTTTATTCTTTTCTTTCCCTTAGTTTGTTGAATTTAACTTCTATGATGATGTTTTTGTGTGCTTGGACTGCTTGCAAGGTAAATCTTAATTAATGATGGAAATAATATGAAGTCTAAATAAATACGGGATAACTTCCACAAAATTATATAATTAATGATGAAAATTCACAAAATATCTCAAGGAAAAAATCACGATAGGAGAGAAAAATAAATGAGAAAAGGCAATATTTCACTCCTACATTCTTTTAGAGGTAAGGAGAATTGTTCTACCGGACTAAAATTCTGCACAAGTCAATTTAGTACGCTTTTTTTTTTTTTTGGGTTTAGAGAGCTACAAGAACATGTGATGAGAAATGGATCCCAAAATTCACTGAAATCGGGAAGGAAGGCGTTTCACTCTCATTTAGCGGGGTTAGTGAACTAGACATTTTGAAAGCAAAGGTAGAACAAGGGGTCTTCAGCCTCAAATACATAGAAATTAATGGCTCAATCTCAAAATTGAAAGGTACAATCATTATCATTTAAGTCAAGCTTGATTTGATAATTCATTGTCCTGCGTGAATAGAATCATACGGAGTGTAGCTTTTACTTGTTTACTAGGGTGGTCAACGCGCGCGATGCTCGCGATATGATCAGCCAATGCGGATAAGTTAACATGGCTCGTCTTTGTACTCTAAGGGTGGTCACTTAAGTTAGTTATGTTCGTTTTATGTGGCAGACTGGAAAAGGATTACAATGTAAAGCGTTTTAATAGCTTGTACGATGTACATAGTTATAAAGCTTAAAATTAGTAGGCATTTTGCGCGTGAAATGGCTTATGCAATCTGGTATAAAAATTATTTTTTTGCATTTCACTTATAAGAAATTTAGAAAATTGCAAATTGAACATCATATTTCAAAGTCAGTAAAAAGCTAATAAGAGAAAGACTAAATAACAAATAAACAATACCTACATTAATTTAAGCGTATTTTTGTTATGAACTCTCAAATTATATACTATTTTATGAAAGTCTATTTATGCATATATGTAGCCCGGCCTAGGGGCTATATATATTTGTTACCCGATATATGTATCAAAAAAAAATGGTGATTCTCTACAATAAAAATTGATATAAATGTAACACCCTCAAATCTCCCTATACGGAAATACTAGTATAATACGTTTAATTATACCGTAGAGATAGACTTAGGCGTATTACCGCCATGTGATTACGCAAGGCTACTCAAACTATTAACCAAAACCAATACTTTGCAGCGGATACTCAAACTCTCTCTTTATTAATAATAACTATAAATAGAAACCATTGTCATGAGTACTCATGATTAGACAAAGACCAACATTCCTAATTTGGGTGAAGAACATTCCCGGGATTCCCATATGCTCAATTCTTGACTCCACCTGAAATTAGTCAACACTGCTTACCATTACAAATAAACAGGGCGAACCAAAACAAATAAAAAATACGGATTAACAAAATATATATGCTAAGTACGATAAGTGCAAGATAAGTAAATTCAATTTATTTGCAAACATGCTTTTAAATCCAATTCCAATAATTAATCTAATGAATTCCAAAACTCATGATTTCAAATCAATTCCAATAATTCAATAATTCGATGAAACGATTTATAAAACCAATTCCTCCTTTGAAAACCAATCCCTCTTTTGAAAATCAATTCTCCAATATTCTCAAAATAATTCCAATAACTCAATAATAATGATTAGTCAAATCAGTCATTTTCGAAAACCCAATCTCCTCTCTAAGTGTGCACACACCCCAAATTAGTCTCCCACTATTTCAAGGCTATTCTTGGAGAAAGACTAGGTCATACAAAATCCATAGCCTTCAATGAATCCGCATAGTGGAATTAATATAATAAATATGCTTATAAAGCTTTTTGAAATAATTCAATAATTCTCATAAAGTTCCTCTTTGAATAAAATCACCCTTTATAATAGGTTAACTCAAAACTCCTTTTTTATTAAATTCAACATGCCTTAAAAATCAACCTTTTAATAAATACTTGAGAATTAATTCTCATACTAATAACCTTTCAGAATCAATAATTCTTCCTTTGAAAAACCGTTTATTTAATTCATCAAACTTTTCAAAAAAAAAAAATTTTGTATTCAACATGATAAGTAATTCAAAACATGATATAACATCAATCCTCCAATTTATTTATCAAACCAATTATTTAAACATGCTTTTATTTCATAAATCATAATTCAATTCAATTTAATTCAACCCTTATAAAAATCATGTAAAACATGCTTATACAATCCAATCAATTTCAAAGGTATCTAGCCACCTAAACGTACCTTTGGTCCTTGCTTAGCACACACAAAGAAACTTCAAGAACTTGGATCAAACTGACCCTACAAATAAATATAACCTTAATTAATATAAGGTTAACAAATAATCACAATAATAAAATTAAAAACCCTCAACTCTATATGTACCTGAACCTTTTTAAATTATTTTTCATAAATATGAATAAAAATATGATTTTATTTAATTAAAACTACTCATAATAATTTTTATAAATCCCCCATAATAATAATAATTATTAATTAAATAAGAGAAGAGAAGAAGAAAAGGTAGAAAACCGAGGAAAAGAGAGAAAGAGAGGTGGCGGCAGCTGCCGGGGCCGTGATCAGCGGTGGTGGTCGGCGGTGGTTGGTGGTGGCGACGCAAGAAAAGAAAAAGAAAAGCAGAAGAGAAAATTAAAGAGAGAATTAGAGAATTTGGTGTGAGTGTTTAGCCATGAATCAATGGGTATTTATAGGCTAGCTCATGCATGAATTATGGTAAGAGAATGTAGGAAGAATTATGGTAAAAAGAGTTAAGGAAATTACTTGGAGAAGAGTGTTAAAGAAATATGGAAAGTTTGAGGTTAAGGTGAGTAAGAATAATAAAATTAAGGAAAGTATGTTGTCATGAAAAATAATATGGCAAAAGAGGTTTACTTGGGGAATACTCAAGGATGAAATAAGGTAGGGAAATAAGATGATCGAATATTTAGGAGATGGGAAATAAAAATTAAGGATATAATTTTGAGGAAGATAATTAAAAATACAATTTACCAAAATAATTCACCCAAAATCTATCCTTGGTGGCCGAAATTTTTGAGCTTCCACAGCTCAAAATCTCGGACACCCTATGTAGTATTTAGGGGAATATTTTGCTAGATTTAAGGGATTAAAAATAATTGTGTAAATAATATATTTTGTATAAAATAATTAATTAAGAGAATACCAATTATTCACTAAATAAATTAACTAAGAAAATCAAATTTTCCACACTAGGAAAATCCAAAATAAATAGCCACTTAGTAGGAATTTTTGGACCTCCTTATTTAAATAATAAATTATAGTTTTTACTTAATTAAAATATCTGAAATATATATAAATAATTTGGTTTTTTTTTTAAAAAAAATGGATAATAAATTTTATTCAAAATTCAAAAATAATAATTAAGTTTTAAAATAGTTTTGGCGCCAAAATTCAAATATCATTTTGGCTCCAAAATTCAAATAGTAAAATAATTACTAAAATACCCTTTTTAGAAAATAATAATTAATTGATTAATTAATTAGAAAATACGTTTTAAAAATACGGGGTATTGCATAAATTACGAGCTAAAAAAACAAAGCAAAAAAAAGGAATATGAAATTACATTAATTTGTTCTTGGGTACCTTATGAGTAGTTAGCAATCTTAGGTCTCAAAATTTAGTTTTGAGTTTGGATTTGACTCAAGTCTAATGCAATGTAAATTTATACTTCGTAGTTCTGTTATACTACCTCAGTTTCTTATTATGTGAATATTTTGTCTCACAAAAAATACCCATTTGTTACATATATAAAATAAGAAACGGAGGTAGTATCTAATATGATCCAATATCCATTCTGATATAAAGTTTCAAATTTGGTATCTGAAACCCATTTTAAAAATCCAAATTAACTAAATGGGTACTTTTTTTTTCTTTGTATATTGGCCTGAGGGATTTTATTTATTTATTATTGTTTTAATAACAGAGTGCCAAGAAGAGATGAGTTAACCAAAGCAGCCAATCTTGAGGTTAGCTTAATTCCACTTAACACTACAAAGAAATATAGTAATTTATTAAGCTGATACTTATTAGATGCAGATCATGTCACCACGAAGCAGACAAAATCGAAACACAAATTAAAACCGATGGAGCAGGAAAATGACTGAGAATAATGCTACATCCAACAGAATAAATACAGAATACATATACAAAAGCAAACACCAAAAAGACTTCATAATCCTCAAACTACATACATCCAGTTACACTAAAATTACAGGACTTCAAGAATATAGCCTTAGAGTTTCCTGGAATTGTATCTTGTGTGACCTGATAGATCACGAAACATAGCAGCTATGATAAGGATGCACCAGAATCTCACCAGAAAAGTGGTATCTTTAACTAACAATAAACCTCTAAGGTAGGTTAGGATTGATAAGAGAACTACTCGTTGTCTCCTTTCCTTCAAATATTCATCTAGAGCCTCTATAGCCTTCTGTGCAGTGTTGACAAAGGCATTTTATTCCCATTCATATCAACCTCACCTATCTTCTTTGAAAAACATTTACCTAGAACAATATCATCTAGACCCTTCCTGCCCTCATTGAAATTTCTCAAAGGATCAAAAACTTGATCTAGAGCATCCATTGATGAAGATGAAATTGAAGAGGGAGAAATTAAAATTACCACCCCATCAACACATACAAGATGGGTTTTAATTATATTGAATTGATGACACCAAATGAATGAATGAAATTTGAAAATAATTATAATAAATTGTAAATGACAATAATTGCAAAGAATAAGAGTACATATATATAATTAGAATTTCAATTATAATACATTTGGTTAAAATTACATGCATATCAGTTACAAACTCTACCACGTATTGAGTTTTAATTAAGATTGAATTGATGGCACCAAATGAATGAATGGAATTTGAGAATAATTACGATAAACTACAAGTGATGGTAAATTTGAATGAATGGAATATGAAAAGAATTACAATGTAACAATAACTTGCAAGCTAAGATGGATTCTTATGACTAACCACTAAACAACACCGCTACATGCCAAATGTCATTTAGATAACTAAACACCCCTACATGCCAAATGTCATTTAGATAACTAAATTTACATACATTTTCAAGGCTACAGACGAAAAAGCATTTATATGAACCATACCATCAGCATATCAAAGACTATTCATACAGTGAAATAAATATTAGAGACACTGCTCTTGATTTTATTTATCTTTTAGAAATGGAAACACCCTGATTGCTTATTAACGCATTTTATTTTCTTATAAACCATGCATCATTAGGAGAGCCCCAAGGCTCTTAGTTTCCGATAACATGAACAAATTACTAATTGAGAAAACTGCATTATCAGAGCAACAGATATAAGATATTGCTATTAAATTAGATCCATCAGCTCAGCGAGTCAATGATATATTGAATAGCGAGACAACCCTCATAACTGAAATTTTCACCAACTAATTAAAGAGACGTGCAATGGGAGAGGCGGTAGGACTTCTGTCCAATGCAAAAATGGAAACAAATATATTATACTAAAGCCACAAGCTCTGCAAAATAATATTATGAAGTCATACAGGCAAAAAAGAATTATAAGACTAATTGATTGATCAAAATGGATCAGCCCACCCCATGAGACTCGTAATTTAATCGAGTTGAATGAGTTGTAATTAATCAATGAGCTTCTTAGCACAGAACATAACATATAGCAGAATTATGAAGTCATAGAAAGGAATAAAAGGTTCAAGAATTAAGACTAATCTAGGTGATTACCAAGACAAATCACAGCACAAAACATCCAAACTTATCTTAGTAGGGAAAGAACCACCAGTACCAGGTTTTTTCGGTAGAGACGAATATAATCAGATTGACAGATAGACCTATTAGCTAAAGAGTATTTCATGTTTTCAGAACAAAACAAGTGATGGAATGTTGTACAACAATTATAAAGGGATAAATTTGCTCAACTTGATACCAACAACAGCCAAACATGATCAAATAATGCGCTTGATAAAAAAAACCCAATGGCGCTAGATTGTTTTACAACAATATAATGGGATATACACTACCATGAGAAAAACAGACAAGTTTAGTATAGATTATGCAAAATTTACGAAAAATGTAATAACCTTAAAATCAAATTCTCAAAAATAAGAGTTTACCTTAGCATATAGGGTCATTACTGTATGTATGAGGGGAATTGGAGGCGGGGGTGAATAGATCACCTGGCCTGCCAAACAGCAACAAGAACAACAAATTTTTTTTTTTAGAAAAAAAAAAAAAAAAAAAAAAAACATATACATGTAAAGATGTGTTGTAGAAAAGCATATTAATATGAAAACAACAAATTGAAAAGAATAAAAAGAGACCTGAGGAGCTTCCATGGTGTAATGCTCAAGAAAATCAACATAATGTTGGTATATCGAGTACCTGGTGCTCCATTCACTTTAATCACCCGCTTTTTTTTTTTTTTTTTTTTTTTTTCAAATCCAATCAAATTTTGGGAAAATAAATGGAGAAAATAATTAATGGAATAATACCCAGAATTTATCAAAACCCTAGAAAATAAACTGAAATTAAAATTGAAAAAAAGATATTACCTTTGAAGATTATCAGTGACTTTGTGCTTGAAACCAGTAGGAGGAACATCCCTCTAATCCCAGTGAAAGGAAGCCAACTTTGAGCACTAACCCCCATAAACGGCTCTAGATTTTCCAGTGAATTTTCAGCGGATGAGGTTCGGCGTCATTTTCGGTGTGAGCGGTATTTCAATTGTATGGTAAGATGATAAAGGGAATGCATTCTTGATTGCAGGGAATCCGATAAGTTGGGATGATAATAATAGAGAGATGAAGTGAGAGAGATGGTAATCACTAAGCAGGTGGCATGGGTGTTTAAAAAAAAAAAAAAAAAAAAAAAAAAAAAAAAAAAAAAAAAAAAAAAAACCTTTAAGGCTTTAATATCAAATGGGGCTAAATAGGTAAATACACATTTTTTGGGGTTATAAATGTCACAACACTGTTTATAAGAGTAAGGTTGAACTTTTTACAAGGCAGGGATACATGGGAGTATGGGAGTGTACTTTTATATGTTTGGATTTTAGCTAAAAGGATCAGAGGGCCACTGCCCACTCCTATAACCCAAATGTGTTGTGGGCTTGTGTTTTCATATATGGCCCAATCTTCGTGCTTACCGTAAAGCATCCATTGATAATTTTTAGTTCATTATTGTGCGTATTGTCAGTTTCTCCCAATCATTGAATTCACAAATCACAACATCTAATCTTCTTGTATCGTTTAGACATTTACAACGGAGTATTGTACTTCATCTGTTCTTTAATTTTCTTACACTTTTCACATATAGTCTTTACATTGTTATTTATTCCACTTTTGATTATAGTTTGTTACGCTTTTACTTCTTAGTCTCTTACTACTTACAGTGTACAAATGACCTGCTCCGTTTCTGAGATTTCGGTGGTTTGGGGCAAAAACATAGATTGGGACCCTAACTCACATATCCACATATAGTATTATAAAGTAGGATATGCAAAAAGGATTATATATAATTAGATAAATTTTCGTTAAAAATTGAAGAGTAAAATGACCGTTTATTATAGTTTTCATCTTCAATTGAATCACGAAAGAGAAGAAATTAATCTAACTGAAAATTGAAAAGAGATACACTTTGGAAAATAAAATTACCGAAAGAAGGGGATATAATTGAATTAATGACTTTTTTTTTGGGTTAATCAAATTCATTTAAGAAAGTGAATATTTAGGGCAAAAAATTAGGGAGGAAGAAAGTTGACCGATAATGGCGTTTGATATTCTGACATTCTATAGTACTGTACACGATTTTTGCTTTCTTTTTTTATATTTTTTTAAGAAAATTAATTCGGGGCCTTGTATAATAATGAAGCTAGGCTTTTTAACCAGGGCTCAGGATGGTCGCCCCAGGTGCCCTGCCCTTGCTACGGGCCTGAAATGACCCACTTTTAGATTACTTTTTCACATAATACCCAACTTTAGTAATTTCTCTTAATTTCTTAATTTTGTTGTTTATAAAACTACAAGGACAGATGATGAGAATCGATTTCAAGATCTCTTGAATTGGAAGGGGAGCTCTAATCACTTGAGCTATCCCTCATTCTCTCTTAATTTCTTAATTAGTGTGCACAAAGTCATACAAAAAATTTATTGTAATATTACTAGTATGTTTAAAAACAAAAAACGCTAATGTAAGGAAAACAGTTTGTATTATTGTACTTTGAAGTAGTGTTTGAACTAGTTTGATATCAGCTTATGAACCCTATCCTTGCATTGTTGATGCCAATTGCCCAAAATTCGACTCTTAAATTGCCTGACTTACTAGATTGGCATGCAAAACATGGAATTTTGTCTCATACTCTCTTAATTTTTTTTTAAGTGCCTCATTAGGAGTTTTGACACTATTCATTAGACTTACTTTGACTAATGTTTATAAATTGTACATAAAAAAAAAATGTAATTTCGTGGGTACTTGTTGGAATTGTCTCAAAAATTAGATTATTAATATTCAATTGTTATAATTTATAGTTATTGATAATTAAAGATACTATTCGTTAAAGTTTTGTATCGGCATATGTGTCATGTCACTATGAAGCACTCTAAACAAAACATAGGGATTAATATAAAATGGAATTTTGGTATATATAGAAATTGGATAAAGAGATATGAACGTAGAAAAATAATCATTCGATGAAGGAACACAAAACCATTATGTTTCAACAGAGGTGCAAGAAACGGTTGAAGGCAATGAAGTGGGTAAAATGGTTAAATTTTGCGAGTTGTTCCAACCACTGCGAAATCTGATTTCAAGAGCCAAACAAGAAAGAACACTGTACAAAAGAGTCAAGACCAGGTCCTCTAATAGAATGTTTAACCTACAGCTAACGCTTCTAAATGTCTTGCAACTATTATAATCGTACTCCGCTATCTTTATATTTAACGTATATAGGTTTTAGATAGATCTACGTAAATAAGTAAAGTGTTTCGTTTAAAAAACAAAGGAAATTGATCCTTTAGATACTTTGCCACAAAATGCTTCTATTAGGATCCACTCAAATTAATAAACTATGTCATGTGTCACTGTATCAACTTAAGCATATAATACATTAACATTAATATATTATGTCATGTCTCATGTGTCTTTGTATCAACATTATAATAAATTACTAATTAGTACAATTTAACCCCAAAATGATGGCATATAATCGTATCTTTTTTCCCCTAGCCTCGTGAAAAAGTAAAGAGAGTAATGTGGTTTCCTTGGCTTTATTCTGTTGTTCATTCATTTGGTTTCAAATCTCAGTGCAAAGCTACGCACATGATCATCATTAGCCAACACCAATACGGCAAGATATGCATTATTCTCATTCCTTTACTAGATTAAAAGCATAATTAACGCAGTTGTGGCCCCATTAACTGCATAATTACTGATTATTTTAAGGTTAACTTTATAGATTTTGCTTTTAAATTGTTACTATTGTCGTGGGTTGTGGTCCATGACTCCATGCTCCTGTTGAATGACTTGAATCGTGAATGACATCAGACAATATACTATCGATTGTCCTACCTGATTTTGTTTAAAATAAAATATATTGTCCTTTCTGGAAGGTTCAACAAATAAAATAATGCAAGAATTATATTATTAGTTTTTTTTATTTGTTTTTGACTTGTTTTTTTTATTTATTGACTTGTTTCTTTAACTTATTTAAAAATACTAACTACTACGTAGTTACTTTATTTTTGGGTAATGTTATATGTAGTCTTTATGATTATCAATAGACATTAAGATTTTTCCTTTATTAAAGTTAGGAATGCATGATAAAATTATTCGCAAATCAGTGTAACTAATGTTATATTTTCATTTTTGTCAAAAAAGTGTTATATTTTCATTCCCCCCCCCCCCATTTTTAACTCCTTATATGTAACCCTAGGGCTATGTACATCATTTTTGATTTCTTAGCTCTTATTTGTTCACTTCTTATCACTTATCTTAGAAAAAAGCTCAAGTAAGGACAAAATAAGTTATGATAAGCTAAGGGTTGTCCGAATTCATTTTTTGGTTAAAATTAAATTCTAATAAAGTCTTGTACAAAAAAAAAAAAACTAATAAAGTCTAATAAATTTTGATAAGTTAATATCATATATAGTATGTTTAAAAATTAAGTGAATAAAACACGCTTTAATGTAACTATTTATCAAAGAAGAAAACTTAATTGTATATTTTAAAAACGTTGATATTAGCAAATTCCAAAAAAAAAAAAAAAAAAAAAGTATTGACGACTAACCTTCGTAACATCAGAGAAAATACAAGTTTATAAGCTTGATAAACAAAAACTGTTTATCAAGGTGTGTGTATGTAAATTATATCTAACTTTGGTTAACTATTGTTTTTTCTCTCCTCCTTCAGCCTTTTGGTATTTTCTGATTTTCTCTCTCCTCCCTTAACCTTTTGCTGTTTCTCTCTCCTCCTTCAACCTTCAATTTCAATGGTAGAAAGTACACCTTTTCACTATGACATCAAACAAGTGACATCTATGGAGGAAGAAAAGCTTAACTACCCTTTAGGGTTAACCATGCTCATTATTTTCACTTTGTTATTTGGGATTTCGTTTCGCTGCCGAAAATGGTGGTATGAAGTCGAATTTAATGGAGGAAGGAAAACTCAACGACCCTTTAGAGTTAACCATGCCATTAATTTCTCCTTTTGTTATTAGGGTGTCAAACAGACTTGAAAGAGAAGGTGAAAGCAGACAAAGATTGGAGGAAGAAGATTAAGGTGGGTGGGAAGAAAAAATATGAACAAGAGGAAGAAGATGAACATGAAGAAGAAGAAGGTGGGAGGAAGAAGATGATGAACAATAACAAACGGTGAGTTAACGGTGTTAACTCTAAAAATTTGTCCAACTTGTCATATTGGCCTACAAACAGTAAAAATATGTTTTTTTTAATAAAAAAACACAATTTTCAATGGAACTTATTTACGAAAATGTCATTTGATAAACATAATTTGGTTATTTGGGTTATAAATTAGGCTTGCTTATAACATAATTATTATTCATCTTTTTTAAAATAAACCAAATAAAATTCCATTGTTCTAGTTACAACTTTTTATCTCTTGCTAATTCATATCCTTAATTAATGTAATGATATATACATTGTATATTTTACACTCATGTGAGTTCATACAAGATCATATTGGATTCATGTTGTATTGTATATTCTAGTGAATCGCTAAACATCGCTCGCAAATTACCATATAAAGCCCACAAATATGACTTGGTGTGATCATTATGCCCATTTTCTAAAATTGAAATAATCTCGGTTTAAAAAATGTGGAGCCGTACTGGCTCGCCGAGGGAGACCGGAGGGCAGGCCGGAGATGCGGGGGACGCCGGAGGTACGTCGTCGTCGTCGACGGAAAACGAGGTAAGTCACCGTTAAAATTCACGGTTTACCGTCGGAGTGGCTCCGGCGCCTAGGATGGACGCCCAAACCGTAGCCTGGACGTCCAAGCCAGACGCCAGAACCACCACAGTGGCGTCCAGCCCAGACGCCCAGACCACCAGACTGGCGTCCTGGCCAGGCGCCACTCTACTGGCTGAGGCGGCCCTACCAGGCGCCAGTCCAGTGGCTGTGGCAGCCCTGGCAGACGCCACCTTTATATATTAATTTTTTTTTTCTTTTTTGATTTTGTTGTTGTTTTTTATTTATTTATTTTTTTTTTAAAAAAAAAAATCGAAAATGATTTTTAAAAAAAATTCGAAATGGGTTATTTTAAAATTAATTTTGAAAATTCGAAATAGGTTTTTTTAAAATTAAGTTTGAAAATTCGAAATGGTATATTTTTAAATTTAGTTTGAAAATTTGAATTGGGTTTTTATAAAAATTAAGTTTGATTATACATAATTATGCTTTTTTTGTGTTAATTCTGTGTAAATATAGAAATTAAATGTATTATCCGTTAAATGTATTTATTATAATATATAATTGATGCAGGATTATGGTGGAGACGGAAATGATTACAGTGGGATATTTGGACATGATGGTCCATTCGAAGAAGCTCAACAGGCGATTGATTGGGCAAAACAGGTTGCAATTGCAGCTGGATTTTGCTTGGTAGTAGTAACTCATAAATCTCAACGGGATGGTAGAATGGATCGCATTTTGAGATGTGACCGTTATCGCAAAAGAGAAGAAAGAGATTTTCGTACAGCCACTCGGTTTGATACAAAGCGGAAAGGTTGTGGGTGTGAGTTCAGAGTAAAGGTTCGACAACTACGGAGTCGTGACGGTTGGGAAGTGATTGGTTACTCTAAATGGGGGTATCACAACCATGAGATGATAGTATATGAAGAGGGTCATCGACAGCTGAGCGGCTTAAGTCCTGCTGCGAAACTAGTTGTGAAAGAAATGAGTGATGCTCAAGTCAAGCCTGCTAAAATATTAGCATCTGTGTTAGAGAAATTTCCAGAAGACCATCCAAACCAAAGACACATCTACAACGTCAGACAACAACTCAGGTTTGAACGGTCAGAGGGAAGGAACCCTATACAGCAGCTGCTACACCAGGCACAATCACGTGGTTACCTGTTCTGGTTTGATTCTGATGAAGATACAGCGGAGGTGACTCATCTTTTCCTTGTGCATCCTGATTGTGCTGATATGATCAAGTCTTGGCCATTTGTGATTTTGATCGACTCAACGTACAAGACAAACAAGTACAAGTTCCCACTGGTTGAGATCATGGGGATGACTCCAACGAACCAGAACTTTCTGATTGGTCATGCAATCATCAAGGATAAGACGGCTCCAAGTTATTATTGGGTGTTGGAGAAGCTGAGAAACTACATCGGGCCTAATGTTCATCCAGCATCCATCGTCAGCGACTGTGAGGGAGGTCTCTTTGCCCCCATAGCAGAGCTGTTTCCAGAATCGAACCACTTATTTCCGCCGCTCTTATCCGGAAACAAGGTACATCCGAGGAGTAGAAAAACATAAGCACTCAGCTGTGCGTCGTGCGTCCTACGTGCACTGGGGTACAAACACCGCTGCAACACGGATGCGATCTTCACACCGCCGTGTTCCCAAACACCAAGCGCCTCGGTGTACAGTGCAGCCCTGTCCACCACCAACAACTCCGCCAGCAAATCTGCCTGATCCGCATCAGCCACAGCACAAAGTCGTTTACCCTCAACACGAATCCCTAGAATGGCCTCGACGTCATGTAATATGATCGTCATCTCACCGAACGAAAGGTGGAAAGAGTTTGTATCCGGCTGCCATCGCTCAATGAAAGCCGTGATCAGCGTACTGTCAATCTTATCGTGCATGGTGGCAGGAACGTGATTCACCCCAGTGCCCTCCAGTCGCTCGAACATCTCGCTCTCCGCCGGCTAAGCCTCAGCCCATGTACGCAAAAAGCTACAAGTCTTTTCTCGGGTATGACATTTCAACAACCCCGTAACTGAAGGCCTCTCCTGGTCCTCCCAAATACAGGCAGCTATGTGTCCTAGAAAGCTAGGAATCACACTCCCGTCAACAGGCCCACCGGGCACCTCACTCCTAACAACCCAAGAATCATTAACGACCCTCGACCGTTTCCTGCTTGCCCCAGATACAGTGGACGCAGATGATGTGCCAGATCTACTAACAAACCTACCACCCCTACCCTTACGCACCTCCACCATATGTGTCTCGTACATGTCATCAACCCTCTGACTGAATGGACCGTAATCATCATACGGTCCACTGCCATCGTCCACATCCTCATCCTTATCCGCGCCCTCCTCCTGCTCCTCCTCTTGGTCACCCTCCTCAGCATCATCATCGTCATCGTCATCCTCATCCCGACGGTGTATCCGTTCTCTACGAGCCGAGGCCGAAATACCACGGGATCTAACATGTCTATGCCCCGACCTCTCCACTGAATAACTTCTACTAAGAAGCTCTACATTCTTCCCCGCACCATGACGACGCAGTGAATTCTACAAAAAATTTATAAACATACAAAAAATTATACGAAAAATAGCTACCACTACCCAAATCAAATAAACTAAAAACATACTAACAAATTAACATAATAAAGAAATTAACAAAACACTTAAATAAAAATAATAGAATAAAAAATACACTAAGAAAGGAAATAAAACCAACACATAAGAATATATATAAACATAAATAATTCATTCCCAATTAAAATAAATTAACTAACCAAAAACAATATCAATAATAAAAATTAAAATAAATTAACTAACCAAAAACAATATCAAATGAACAAAAAAATGTACTAACAAATTGAAATTGAGAATAAAAATAAAAATGTACAAATAAAACAAACAAATAAACATAGAAAAAATATAAACATAGAAAAAATAGTTGTATTTTTAAATTGTACAAATAAAACAAACAAATAATTGTAAACAAAATATAAACATAGAAAAAATACAACAAAATTGATAAAATTTATAAAAATAAACAACAAAATATAAAAACAATTGAAAAAGATATTACACAAAAAAAAACAATATTTTAATACAAATATATAAAAAAAAAGGGGGGGGGGGGCGCCTTGGCTGGACGTCCAGCCAGCGGTGGTGGCGCCAGCTGCAGACGCCTGGGCTGGACACCATAGCCACGGCTGGTGCGCTTTGAATAAACGCCACAACCGTGGCTATGGCGTCCAGCCCAGGCGCCAGCCTACTGGTTGCGGCGTCTGCAGCTGGCGCCACCACCGCTGGCTGGGCGTCCGGCCAAGGCGCCCCTCCTCCGTCACGGCGGTTTTCCCTTTCTTTTTTTTTTAACAAATTGTACCTTGCCTCCTTGAGACCTCCTTCCCTCCGCCGCCGCCGCCGATTCCTTGCCTTGCCGCCTCGACATTGCCGTTGTTTGAATATTTTTTTTTTGAGATGTTGAAAGAAGATGAGCGATGAGAGTGTGAGTGATGAGAGTGTGAGTGTTTTTTTTTAGGTCAAGGGCAATATTGTCAAATCAAGTGGATTTTGTGGGCTTTATGTGGAGATTTGCGGGCGATGTTTAACAAATCCCATATTCTATGTTATTTCAAAAGACAATAGCTAACTGGGTGCATCATTTTTATGCTTTACAGTATTTATACCAACTACTCATTACGCAAGACCAATAACAACTCAATAAGGAATAAGTTGTTATTCTAACTATCTTTGCCACTCCGTGTATTTTTTTAATTTACATTTAATTTTATATGCTAAAGAATTTGTATAAAATTTTGATTGAGAGTGCTTGTTTACTTTCATTAGTTATTATTGTTCATCTTTTTAATTATAAAATTAATATTTTATAGTTTAAATAATATATTTTGATATACAAAATAAAATTCGGTACATCGCCTGTCCACATATGAGTTCAAAGTATTACGGAGTACAAAAATTGGAGAATAAATTTCGGAAATTTTCATTTTTACCACCTTCAAATAATGACTTTGTCGAATTTACCGCCTCCAAAAAAAAAACATTTACTTTACCACCTCATAAAAAAAATTAAACATCAGTTTTACCACCTCATCCGAGCTCAGGTGACGGAAAACGCTTGTGGGGCCCGGTTAACTGTCACTTCCCTCCAATTTAATTCTTTTAAAATCGATTTCCCTCTGTCTCCTCCTTTTCTCACCTTCCACCTTCCATAATCAATGTCTCACCAACTTTCTCACTTCCTCATCAATTTTCGTCTCTCTCTCCTTTGATTTTTCTTGATTCTCACTGTAACTGCTTCTCTCTCCTTTGATTTTAATCTTTCTCTCTGTAAAAACTGAAACCCTAGATCAATTTGGGTGGTTGAAATCGAGCTGGAACCACAAAATTGCAACACATCAGCTTCTCTTGTCATCTTCCACAGGGTGAGGGGACCAAAAGCTTGGTAATTTGCTGACAGAAATCGAGATTCCTGACTACAAGAGGTACTTTAAACCCTTTATTAGTACATTTCGTTGGATTTATGGTTGTCAATTGGGGTAAAGTATGCCTTTTTTGGGAATCTGTGAATTAAAGTATTATAAACCCTAATTATGCGAATCTTTGACTGAATTAGAGTGTGCATTTGTTAAATAATTAGTTAACTAGGTTTACTTGTTTACTGTTAATTTAGTGCATAGTCAATGTGAATTGCTTTTACTTGCTGTAATTGGTGAATTGGTTGTTGTTGTTTACTGTAATTACTGAAATTTGTTATTGTTGTGTGTGCTTTTGTTGGTGTTGTTACATAATGGACACAGTGGACTTAAAAATTACAGTAGGGGGTGCCTTTATACCTTCTTTAGCTGGTAAAAATAGGAGGGTGTTAACTTGGGATAGTGGGTGGGTTTATTGGATGAGAAAAGTGGAAAAAAATAAGATAGATGTACACTTTTTGAGGCAAGCAGCTATACATGGGTTTGTGTATGTGAATGTGAAGGTTCCTAGGGGGTTTAGTTGCTGGTATAAACAAAAGGGCAAGTCTTGGGTGAATGGTAAAAGGGAGCTTGTTGATGGTGAGGTGAATGGTTTCCTAGAGTCTGTGAACAAAGAGGGGGCATGTGAGATGTATGTTACCAGTCATGAGCCAATTGAAGGGACTAACAAAACGCCCTTCAAATGTATAGCTGGGAATGAGCTAACCCCTGCACAAAGGAAGGAACTGAAAAAGAGGTTTGGTGGGCCTAAAGTATATAAACCCAGCCCAGAACTTAGTAAGCCCACTGAAGAAGAGCCATTTAGGAAAAGCCCTAGGTTAAAAGGCATTGTTATACATGACAGAGAGGCTGAGGAGAGGCTTCCTAGGGCAGAGAAAGTGAATGCTAATACACATAAAGGGAAGGGTAAACTCAATGTTGCAGATGAGGATGGTGATACAGAGTCTTCTGATTCTGAGTTGAGTGATTTTGAGTTAGAAGTTGATGAGGGAGAGGAGGACTTATACTCTGATGATGATGAACAGTGGTTGAAGAAAAATTTAGACCATATTAACAGTGAGGTGAAAAGCAGTTTGAGGGGAGTTACTGAAGGAGGGGATCAATGTGATGATGAGGACACAGGGTTTGACATAGAAAGAAATCTACAGAAAATTGAAGTGAGGGTTGAAGAGGAGGCAACTTGTGATTCTGATGAGCTAAAGAGTGTGGAAGGTGATTCAGATGATGATCAGGGTAGTGTTACTTGGTTTAACCCTGAGACAGACTTTGAAAGGGCTATCAAATTTGTAGTTGGTCAAAGGTTCAGTGATGTGCAAACAATGAGAAAAGCTTTGAGACAACATGCAATTGAAAATAGGTATGAGTATTACCTTCTTCACAATGATTCAAAGAGGCTAACAGCATATTGCAAAAGGAAATGCAAGTGTGTGTATAACAAGAACAATTGTAGGATAGTGAAGTGTACATGTAGTAAGGGTGTTAGGTGTAGGTTCAAGTTTTATGCAACAAGGCTTGTGAAATCAGAGGCTTGGCAAATTAAGACACTAAGGCTGAAGCATAGGTGTGTTAGGAGTAAAATGAACAACAAGGTGACAGCAGAGTTCCTTGCTAACAGGTACTTGGAGGAGTTCAGGGGCAACCCCAGATGAAAGATTAAACAGATTCAGGACAGGGCCTTGCATGACTTGGGGATCAAAATTACATACTCCAAGGCTTGGTTGGATAGAAGCAGGGCAAAGCTTATAATATATGGCTCTTCATCAGAGCAATACTCAAAGGTTTGGGACTATGGGAAGGCACTGCTGAAATGGAACCCAGGGAGTGAGTGTAATGTGGTGGTGGGTGATATTAATCAAATTGAAAGACCAATTTTTATGAGGATGTTTGTGTGCTTAGCTGCACTTAGGGATGGATTTATTTCTGGTTGCAGACCAGTAATTGGGGTGGATGGGTGCCATCTAAAAGGGGCATACCCTGGGCAGATCTTGGTTGCAGTTGGAAAAGATGGCAATAATGCCATCTTCCCAATTGCTTGGGCAACTGCAGAGATTGAGAACAAGGACAGCTGGTGCTGGTTTCTGGAGAGCTTGCTCAAGGCACTTTGTGTGTATGACCAAGGAGATGGCTTGACTTTTATGTCTGACAGACAGAAAGTAAGTGGGCTGTGTTTGTGTTTAAATTACTTTGCTTTATTTGAATTTTCTGTACACTAACTTGTTAGTTTTGCCTTGTGTGTAGGGTCTCATAGAAGCATTTGCAGATGTGGCCCCCAAAGCTGAGCTCAGATTTTGTGTGAGGCATATTTGGTCAAATTTCAAACTGAAATTTCATGGTGCAACTTTCAAGGAATTGTTCTGGGCTGCTGCTAGGGCAAGCACTCTGGTAAGCTTCTATTTAGGTTATTTTATGTCAGTTTTATGGTGAACTATAATGTATGCTAGGAACATTTAGTTTTGCACATATTTGCATGTCTTTCTATTTTGTGAAAATTGTATGCCATGTGTCTATGTTGTGTTGAATGGTTGTCATGTGTGTGGTTGTATCAGTTTGAGTTTGAAGTTGCTATGGAAAGTATCAATTTTTTGGATGAAGAAGCATACCAGTGGCTGTCAAACATTGACCCCCAGCACTGGTCAAGGCATGCTTTCTCTACAAACTGCAAGTCTAACATGTTGTTAAACAACATGTGTGAGACATTTAATGCAGTGATTAGAGATGCCAGAGACAAGCCTATTCTAACTCAAATGGAATGGCTTAGAAGATATATGATGAAGAGGAGTAATGACAAATGGGAGGCAGCAAAGTCTTGGGAAGGTTTACTAACCCCATTTGTCAACAAAGTCTTTGATGGGTTGGAGAAGTATGCCATGACATGTGAGGTTACAGCTTCAAGGGATGAAATTTATGAGGTGAAATACAAGGATGATCAGTGCATTGTGGATCTACAAGAGAGAAAATGCACTTGTTATAGATGGGAGTTGACAGGAATACCTTGTGTCCATGCATTTGCTTGCATAATGGACAAAAGGGATGATCCTGAGTTGTATGTGCACCCACATTACTATAGGGTGACATACTTGGCTGCATATGAGAACCCAATACAGCCAATGCCTGGCCCTAAGAATTGGGAAAAGGTCAAGCTCAGACAGCCTTTGCCACCTATGCTGAAAGTGCAGCCAGGAAGACCTAAGGCAAAAAAGAGAAAGCTTGAACCAGGGGAGGGCACTTCTGCAGCACCTGAGGGCAAGAAGCCAAAGGTGAAGAAACAATGCAAGAACTGTGGTGGGTTTGGCCACTTTGCCAAAACATGCAAGGCTGAAGCAGCACCAGAACAGCCTAACCCACCTGCAACAAATCCAAAGGGTGGGAGGCCACAGATGCAGACTCCTTGGCTTAAGGAACAGAGAAAGAAAAATGAAGAGAAAGCAGCAAGACAGGTATTTTGTGTATTTTGTGACTTGAGTGTATTTAGTGGCTTTGTTTCTGAGTCTTGTCATACTGTGATTGCAGGCTGCACTGAAGTTGCCACAATATCAGCCTCTAACAACAGCACAGGCTGGGTCAAGTAATGCTGCACCTGCAACTGCTGTGTCAAGCCAGCCTGCAACAAGAACAGAGCCTTTGCCAACTCAACCTGTTACCAGGAGCAACAGGAGCCTGAGTCAGCCCACAAGAGTGCCAACAACTACTCTTCCCAAAGTCAATATACAGACCAGGTCCAAGCTTCATGTAATGACAAGCAAGAAGGACAAGGATCTCAATCAACTGTGACCCTAGGTCTACTCATTAGTATTTTGTAATAGACAGCCAAGTTTATTTGGTAGTTGAACAATGATTTTGCACAAAGGTGCCTTAACTTTTGTCTCAGCCAATGTAAAACAATTAAAAACATTGTGTTGCAAGTACTAATACGAAATGTGATATGTTTCTACCAAAAAGTTCCATTTCTCATTGATTTAGTTAAAAGTAGTACAAGAAATGTCATCCCAACATCCACACATAATAATTCAACAAAACACAACATAAGTTGGGATTTTTTTGTTTCTAAGCATTCCTAAATGAACCTAAGATCTAAAATACATAGCCAGTACCAAACCAAAACAACAAAACACAACAATAGCATGTACTGTGAGCATTTTCTTTGTTGTTGCATTGCTGCCATGCACTTCCTTGATCATCTTCTTCCTGTCTGAGCTAAGAGCTTTGCATTTCATCTTCAAGCTGTCAATCTCATTGAGTAAGCACCTCCTTTGTCCACTAACATCATCAACTTCCCTCTTCATGTCATTCAGCTCTCCCTTCATTAGTTTCTTGTCCAGCAGCAAGTTGTTAATCACCTCTGTTTGCCAAGGTGTTCCATCTGGTTGATTCACCCACTCAAAAGCTTTACACCCCCTTGACTCAGTCACAGGATCATAGAATTTGCAGGTCCTAAACTTGCGTCCAGGGTTCTCCCTAGTCCAAGCAGTCAGCCTAGACATTTGGAACTCCACATTGGCATTTTTTCTCCTTTGAGGGTGACATGCTAACCGAAGACATTCCCTTCTGAAATTCAGTAAGAACAAGAATGAAATTAATTGTATTTGAACACAATCACCATAATATAACCCTAATTTCAGTAGCCAATTCACATAACAAAAACCCCCAATCTAATTTAATCTTACATGAACCCTAAGTATTTTAATTGAAATTGGGGTTTAATTGACCTCACAAAACGCCCAATTTCAATTACTCTTAGCAAATGCAATATAATCACGCAACGAATTGCCAAAAAATTACAACAGAAATCACGAAAATTGCTAGAGAATTAACGACGATGGCTTACCTTTTTGATGCTTGTTGTCGAGGAGTTCAATTGATTGTTTGATAATTAGAGGGTTTGGGATTGTTAAGGTTGCCCAAAAATACTGATTTGTGAAGAAAATCGCAAAAATTAATCTCCAATCTGCAAGAATTTGGTGTACAAATGAAGAACTAGGTTTAAATAAAAGGGAAATCGAGAGAAATTTGGGAAAAAAATAAAAAACTAGCCGTTATGCTGGGCCCCACAAGCGTTTTCCGTCACCTGAGCTCAGATGAGGTGGTAAAACTGATATTTAATTTTTTTATGAGGTGGTAAAGTAAATGTTTTTTTTTTTTTGGAGATGGTAAATTCGACAAAGTCATTATTTGAAGGTGGTAAAAATGAAAATAACCTAAATTTTCAAACTAGCTCAACACCATTACTTTAATTAATCCAGTTTGGCCGGTGAACTTCCCATTCCATACTTCCATATTTCAACGTGTCAAAAATCTAGTGGTCCAATTCCCTAACAAAGCAACAATAACCATTTTTTGCTACACTGAAAACAACACTAAATTTTTAATTTCTATTTTTTCTCCCCATAAAAAAAAACCAAAAGTCAAGAATAATTGAAAACGGTCCCAAATCACCCTCACATAAATTCACCAACCATAGACCTCCTTCTCAGAATCCAATCCCTTCTCTTCAAACTCCACTACCTTCTCACCTCCCAAAAACTCTCTCTCTCCTCAAGCTCCAACAATGGCGGACGACTTCCACAAATCAGTCCAACTCGGCTTGAAGCTCTCTAAACGCATTTACTACGGCAAAGACCCGTCGATGAAGCCGCCGCAAACTCCGTCGTCAATGGAGAAGTCTTCGTCGGAAGATCAGCTTCTTCTTCCGACTTCTCCGATGGTTTATGCGGTGGTTTCTAACCCTGCGATGATCGATAATCCTGACATTAAGAGTTATCAGCCGTATGTTCATGGCCGGTGTAAACCTCCGGCGTTGATTCCGCTTCATATGTATGGCGTTGAAGTTGAGGTTGATTGTTATTTGGATATGGCGTTTGTTCATTTGAGTGCTACTTGGCGATTGCACTGTGTTGATGCTGCTCAGAAGTGTGATTGTCTTCTCGCTATTCCTATGGGAGAGCAGGTAGTTTCCTACTCTCGTGTCTTTTGTTTTATTGCATTTGATTTTTCGTACTAATTAATTGTTTGCTTTTATTATTATTTTTTTTATTTTACTATTTTTTTATTTTGTTGAATATACGCAACCTTCTAAGTAAAGAGTATAAGGTTTAACTTTTAAAGTGATATCGATATGACGATAAACCGGTAATTCTTCAGAATTTTAGTGTACATTTTATGAACTATGACTTGAAATACCGAGTTTGGTTTACTGTTACCTAAAGTCCGGAAATCTGTTTTATCGCTTGGCATCATAAATACTGCTTTACTAGCTAACATTGCGTGCATACAGCATTAGTTAAGCTTAGAGTGTGTCAAATGGGTGACTGAATGAGGTTCGGTTAAGTTGGGTCGGGCCTAATTCAAGTTTGAGCATCCTTAATTTATCCTTTGTTCCCATACAAGTTGAAATATAAATCGGATTATATTCAGGTTGGGTCTTATTTAGTTTGTTTTTAGTTTAAGTCATCCTAAATTATTGCTTTTAGTCTCATATATAAGCCGAAATCTGAATCAGATTATTGTGGTCAGTTTTTGACATCTCCTAATTAAGCGTTACCTTAATTAAATAAAACACTGACCCATAAGGTGATAACTAATTTTGTCAAAAATATCTTATTCTAAGGTTTTATTCTTTACACCTTAATTTTTGCCGAATTGAAATTATTTTGCAGAAATTATATTATTTTCACTAAACAAAATTGTTCTCTAATTAATTTTTTTTTTTAGTGATTCTATATTATACTTGTTTTTTAAATTTGGTAATTTTTAGTGATTTAAAATTATTATTACCTCCATAAAAAAAAATAAAAAAATTATTATTACCAAAATTGAACTTATATTTATTAAATTGAAATTATTTTTACTAATTCTAGAGAATAGGGCCTAATTATCCCAAATTTTCATCTGCTCCTAAAAGTTACAAAGTATTATTTTCTTTTGACACATTTGCCACATTTTTAATGGTTAATATCTATAATAACATGTTATTAAAAATTATGAAAGTTTGACATCCTTAACTATGAATCAAACATGACCTCACTCACCATGTGAAGATTCATTTTAATTTATACTATCTAAATGTTAATTTTTAATTTATTGGATTGACAATGTTGATTGTTGAAGGTATAAAAAGCTTTTAATCTAAAACAGTGGACGAAGTATATTGAGTAGAAATTTAACAATTCCCTTATTCCAAATAGGAAGAGAGGAAAAACTGTTGGATGTCTCATGAAGAGAAAATCTTCACTTTAAGAAAGATAATTCCTTGTTTAAGGATAAATTGTTAGACATCTCATATGATACTTTGCCGGTTGAGTTTCTTGCAAAAGTGAGTGACTAATGACTAGCACTAATTGTTGAACGATTAAAATGATGACACATCTATATGTTTAATGTTTAATTGTTGTGGGATACTGGGTTAACATGTCATAATCTAATGAGCCAACTTTCACGGGGCTAACGGACAGTGGTATATGGCCGTTCCTTGTACCAGTGATGGCGGACTGGCACATGGGGGGTGGATAATGTAGTGGGCAGTGGTGAATTGGTGATAGCTTGGGAATGCTTTGGAAATTTATTGAATAAGACCCTGTTTTTTCACTTTGTTTTTACTAAATTGAAATCATATTTAGGCTTTGTTTGGTTGGATGTAAGAAGTAGAAATTCCCATGAAATTTTAATTCCTATGAAATTGTAATTCCTAGGAATTTTCAAAAATTATTTGGTTGAATGTAGGAATTTCCACTTTTCATGGGAAGTTTCACTTACCTAGGGGGGACTAGGTAAGTTAATTCTTCCATTTTGTGGGAAGTGGAACTTTCTAGGAAGTCCCAATTCCTACATTATTGTCAACTAAACAAGCATGCATAAATTCATTTCTTAGGAAATTGAAATTCCCATGAATTTGTTTGTCAACCAAACAAGGCCTTATTGAAATTAACTTTACTGAACTGAATTAATTTTACAAATACATATTTTTACTGAACTGAAATTTTTATTGACAGAGATCTTGACATTTAAAGTTTAGGTTGTGATGGTAGGTAATTAGTCTAATTACCAAATGTCAACTCAAACTAATTGATCCCTAGTATTATTTAGCGATGGGAAATTGGGATGGCAATAGCCATTCATCTGCAAAATTATTGGCCTTGAAAAGACTATAGGGTCCTAATGTCCTATATTGGAAAAACATTAAATTTATGTCTATGTGTTAATGGTGATACAACTTTGCTGAACAATTATGATGGCTTTTGATTACAAAACTTTTTAGGTTTTGAACTTTTGAATAGACAAAAGATGTAATACCATTTTTGGAATAGTAGAGAAATATACATAAATTTTTTCAAAGAAGTCATTGAGTATAGAAGAGTAATTATTGTGTTATTGTCATAGAACAAAAAGTCCAATGTTTAGGTGAGGCCCTTGATTGTAATAAGGGAACTATTACTAGTACATAATATCTCTCTCATATCAAAAGTGGTACATTATTTGCTGGTATGGACTATTCTACGGAGTACATTATTTTGTTGGTACGGAGTGTGGACAGTTATAATGTGCAGCTGCATTTTTGGCGTAAGGTGCTACTTTGTGGAGTATTTATCAGAGAATCTAGCTGATTGCATTAGTCCCCTTAGTGGTAATGCAAGAAAAGAAGGCAGCAAAATATTGTCTATAAGTAATAAAGAAAAAAAGAAGGTAGCAAAATGCCGAAATTTTATGCAATATTTTGGATCATCCTTTTGCTTTTTATTTAAATCATTAGATTATCCATTATGGGACCGATTTTTATTGTCTAGACTTTAAAGAATAGTACGTGGGCCTCTTAGGACCTAGCAATTATGGCATTTACAGGCCTTCTTGTACAATTATTTACTAATGGTCCCTGCTAAGGATCATTAGGCGCAGCAAAGTTCTGCATATCAAAAGTGAATTAGTTATAGTATTGTCGGTTTGGACAAGAATAAAAGTTATGTCATCCTTAACTACGATTAAGCCTTATTAATTTTTTGCTGAATCACCACATGGCACAAAGTGCTGTTGGCCAGATTTCTTCCCTATTAGGTACCACTGTGATTTGAGTGGATGTTTTACCCGAGAAGTTAGCAAGCACACCTAATATAGAAGTTTAGTACGCATTAATAATTTTTGGAAGAAGGTAGCACTGTAGCAGATTGTGCAGAATGTCTATATTTTGGACTATCATTTTGTTTTCAATAAATCCATTGTGGGACTTGAATTCCTTGAATGGAGCCTAGTATTTGGGAAATTGCTTATCTTACTGCCAAGCAATTGTTGGCCTTTCTATACAAAGCTGTCAGAAAATCATGATGTGTTTTGTCAGTGGCCCCTGTTGAGGTTTTTTTTGTACAGTTGTCAAACTTTGTGGCTCATGAACATATTTGCGACATACTTCCTCCTGAACAAATTTTGGTGCCTAATTCTTTCTGTGGCTCTTTGTATTCTGTTAATTACCCTCCCATGTGGCTCTTTAGTACATGTGTATTCTCTGAATTGTATGGGAGTTATGAAATTGGACTTTACTGATGATTCTGGTCCTAGTTGGGTGTGATCTAATTTTTTTATTTTTTTTTAAAAAAACATCAAAACGAGAACCCCCACCCCTCTCCCCCTCTCTCGAAAACATAGAATACAGAATCCATATTATTGCAACAGTTCTGCATAGACTTTGATGATTAATGTGATAGAAGTGTGATAACATGTGATGATTCCATTAAAATGTGTTACCAGATATGCTTGGACTTGTAATTTTAAAAATTACAACAAAATTGCACGTGTATTATGCATGCATTTAAGCAAATCCTCATTTGTTTATGTTTTGATTAAGATTCATTTTCAAACTTGGCCATGCAAGAGACTAAATGAACCAGATTTAATTAGTTATATCATTTGTCCATTTAATTTTGAAACAGTCAATACATAAATATATATGTTAATGTGAGAGTCATGCTTATGACGAAAACTTATCTTGTGGTGAGAACCACTACATTTCATGAAGGTTTTAGGTATATTACATAAACGCACATCCCTTGCAATCATTGCTATTTTGTTTTTTCAAGGTTTAATTTTTATTGTTTTGGGCTCTCAAGAAAACCATAATTTGGCTAACAGGGTTCAGTTCTAGGTTTTGAAATCGATGCTTCTGGAGGTTCATATCTTTCTCAGCTAGTCAAGGTAGAAGATGCAACAGATCTAGATGGATCAGACAAACTTGAGTATGGAGGCTTCGTGAAGCCCAATATTTTCACTTTGAAGATCCCTAAGGTTTTACATTCTTCACTTTTAGTGGTTTCCATGTGGCTGATAGGAGTGATAACATACCATATCCTTCTTATTTTTGTACTGGATTGTGGGAGTTGATCTTTTTCTAAGGGGAGAGAGTGCTCTAAAGGGTAAAGAATTGGACTATATGCTATTATGCTGGCTGTTATTAGACAGCTATCCTTTGATCGGTTTGTTGACATTAGAAACGTTAAAAGGAGTTCTGAATTTGGAACAATCACATTTTCCTTAAGAAATATTTAAGTTTTGGCAAAGCAAAAAGCTTTTGCAGGCAATAACTTTGGTCAAGCCATATTAACATTAACTGAGGTAAATGTTGAAGTTCCAAAAGGAGTTATCAAATATTTAAAGAGTTTTGTGTCTTAAAGAGTCTCGTGCAAAAAAAAAAAAAAAAAGTATCTGCAAATTCTCATTTGTCTTTGCAATGCAAAGTATCATGAGTGAAGTAAGGCTGAAGCATAGAGGCATTTGTGTGGAGGGATTTTACATAGTGTTCAAAGATGACTGGAAGAAAAATATGTTTCCACTTTTAAAGTACCAAAAAGAAAAGTAAAAGGTTGATAGATGTGTGCTTGTATGCATTACATTAATTCTTAGTGTTTCTTAGCAATGACAGACTTAATTTGTTATTCAAGGTTGAAGGAGGATCTAAGATTCTGGTTAAAGCTAAATGGTCCCAGAGGTTAATATATGAGAATGGTTGGTTCTTGCTGAAATTGCCATTTAGTTTTCCAGTGTATGTCACTCCAGGTGGGAAGATTTCTAAAAAACAGAAGATACTTTTGAATGTCAATTCTGGTACTAATGCAGAAGTTCAATGCAAAGCTGCTACTCACCCGTTGAAGGTACTTGTCTGCCAATGCTGTCATTGTATATCTTGATAAGCTTATCACAAGTATATACTATTTTTTATTTTTGATACAACTATAGGTACTCGTCTTGCACAATGCTGTCGTTTTCATTTCTTGATAAGTTTACTCTTTACTACAGTATTTTTTTTAACTGTTAATAACAGTCTGTATGTTATATAATTATTTTGTTCTTCTAGGAACTGAAGCGTCAGGTTGGCAAATTTGGTTTCTTGTACGAAGAAGAAATTAATACATGGTCGCAGACTGACTTTGAATTTTCGTATTCTGTAAGACATTATACTCTGTTTCTTGTATAAAATCCTATTATTAGTGTTAATCATATGCATATTAAGATACTGTACACATCTGAATGATGGGACTCCTGGGTTTCATGCTTGCTCAAGTTGTGGATTTCTTTCCCTCCAGGTCTTTTTCAGTGACATACATGGTGGATTTCTATTGCATTCTCCTTCTTCAAATAATATTGATCAAAGGGAAATGTTTGCCTTTTATCTTTTCCCTGGGGAAACTCAGAATAGAAAGGTGACTTCACTCTTCATCACACATGATCTCCTCCTCCAACTTGTATTTCCTTGTCAGTTTCATTATCAATTTTGTTAATCTCTTACCATTGTAGCTATCTTGCACCTTTTGCAGTGTTTAATTTCCTTTGGTGATTAAAGAACAATTGATTCTGTCTATATATTAATTCCCTTTACATACATTTATATTAGGTGTTTAAGAAGAGAGTCATATTCCTTGTAGACATAAGTGGTAGCATGAAAGGTGCTCCTATTGAAAATGTCAAGAAGGAAGTCTTGGCATTTCTATCCACGTTAAATCAAGATGATCTCTTCAACATCATAGCATTTAATGGGGATAGTCACTTGTTTTCTTCATCAATGGAACTGGCAACCCATGAAGTACTAAAACGAGTCAGTGAGTGGATCAGCATAAAGTTACTTCCAGAGGGAGAAACAAACCTTTTGCTCCCAATGAAGCAGGTTTTTAGTTTTTCTCTTGATATTTTTGATTGACTACAAACAGTCTGTGATACTTTCAGCCTGGCTTGTATTTTTATTTACATTACATTGTGTATGATGGTGATGTCCATACATATTAATCTCCCTGTGAAACATATTCTTAATTTTCATGTGACAATGTTGATTGTTCAAAAACCCTTATCTCTGTTATTTTCACTCTACTATGTCACTCTATTGACAATGCACTACTGTGGTGATCATGTTTATACATGTATGTATGTGACCATTCATTTTTTTTTCCCATAACCAGCTTAAGAAGTGTTCCTTTTGCAATAAATGCTGTTCTATCTCTCAATATGTCCTGTTGAAAAGTAGCAGGTTAGGTGTTGTTTCTTAATGAAAGTGTTGCTTTTATTATAATATTACTATGCCTTGTTGGATCTATTATAAATCTGTTCATGTAATATCTCTGTACTTTTTCACTGAAAAAGTTGTGTATGCGTATCAGCGTAAGGATTTGATTTATAAAATTCTATTCTCGTGTTTGTCTTGTCTCATATGCTACTTGTACAGGCTCTAGAAATGGTGTCACATGACAGCAGCTCAATGGCTCATATATTTCTTATTACTGATGGCGCTGTTGAAAATGAAAGAGACATTTGCAATGTTGTGCAAGATTACTGTGCAACAAAGGAAAAATCACCTTTTCTCCGTGTTTCTACCTTTGGCATAGGTAAGCATGTAATGTTTATAATCTTTGTTGGAAAATGGTACTGAGCAATGTATTTTTTCATATTTTTAGGGGGTTTGGGGGAGGGGCTTTAGCATTCCAAAATATGTTTCAGATCCATTATTTTGAGGATTTTTTTGCAGGTTCATATTGTAATCACTTCTTCCTACAAACATTGGCACAGATAGCTAAAGGCCATTATGATGCTGCTTATGATGCTGGTAAGTTCTATTTATTCGAGCTTTGCATCTTTGTTGTGTTAGCTGTGTTTTAGTTATTGTCTTCCGTATGTTACAGCTCTAACCTTGAATATACAATCATGTGTGTCCATGTTTACAATTGATAAACTAATCAAGAATAAATATATTTACTAAAGAAAAATATTTATTGTTCTACTATCAAAGTTTGGAAATAACTTCCATTAATAAATCTCTATTTGCACTTCAATCAGCTTGTATTTCATGACACTGATGAGTAAGAAAAAATCGCAGACCGAGTGACTTTTCTAATATCTACTACTACATACAATTTGAATTACTGCTGCATATGTAAATAATGTTATATGCTCTTTACTATGCATGCAATCTATGACTTTGATGGGTGAATGGGAAAATGGCATCATGGCAGATATTTCGTGATGCAAGGGAAAAAAAAAAAAAAAAAAAGAGAGCATCTGCATCATTTCACACATTTACTAGCATGAACAGGTTCTTATATGAAATAGGGAATATGGTACTTTCCCACGCTAGGTTCCTAAGAATCACCAAGGTAAAATTTTGCCTTCTGTATGGAGTAACTACCAAGTTTTGGCTAATTAATCATCATTTCTTAACCAATGCTGATATATTTTCCATTTGATTATTTATTGCAAGATTTCCCTTTTCTTCCTTTGCTCTAGGTTCTAAAATGTAATGGTCCCATATTAATGCAATTTCCTGTATGTAATTGTAATGATTAAGGCAATGAACATGGATCAGCTGTATAGCATATTCAAGTTAATGATGGCAATACTGTATAAATAATGTGCTTCCTGTTTCCCCAGGATCTATTGCTCCTCAACTGCAGAGACTTTGCATAGTGTCTTCGCAAGTAATTCTTTCAAATGTTGAAGTTGATGGCTTGAGCTATGTTCAATCACTCACGGTGAGACACATGTTTAAAGTAATAGTTGGCAACTGATTTGGGAATGCCTTGCTGCATTTTTTTTTCTTCATAAGATAAGATTAATTTGCTTGCTGCAATCCGAGATTCTTTATTCTCCCAGCGACTGTGTGCCAGTTTTGTGCTCCCAGCGACTTTGAATCAGATCTGTCTTTTAGTGATAATCCTAGAAGCTGTTTCAGAAGCAGCAAGAAAGGATTTTTTAGAAGCTGAAGAAGTGTACACTCTTGTTTATCTCTCTAGTTGGCTATGATCCTGCTTCGCAAGACAAAGATGTCTTGTGTGTTGTGAAGAAGTGGAAAAAGCAGAACGAGGTTGACTAATGAAGTTATCATTCAGACTCTTCTTTGGCATATGCTTGTGCTTGGCCCATTGAAGATTTATCATATTGGTTGATGAATGATGACAGCAGTTTATTGGACGGAATGGCTTTTATTATTGTTAAGTTTTCTTGTCCTTATTTTGTGCAGCTGTATCCATCCATGATTCAAGACCTTTCATATGGATGCCCAATTATAATATCAGGAAGATACGAAGGCAAGCTACCAGAATCTCTTATGGTTCGCGGTACCTTGGCAGATATGAGTAATTTTGTGACAGACCTTAAGATATGGAAGGAAAAGGATATACCTCTGGACAAGGTAATTTTACTTTATTTAATTTCGTATAAAGCTATCATTAGTTTCTTATTTTACACCTTTCCGCTTCAGTTGTTGAATGCCTTCTGGTATAGGTTAATTATTGCATTGGATAAGACATGTTTGCCAATGACCAGAAAACCTTTGTTCATATTTGAAGCATTTGATTTTATTTAGCACGTTAGAGAGGGATTGGAGAATGAGGGTGAAGGGTTTTACATTCATGTCGTGTTTCCCTGTTTCCTTGTCTGATGGACAGAAATTTTCATGTCCTTAATTGTTACAACTTTGCCCTCTCACTTTTCTTAGATCATCATCATGGTCATGTCACTCATCTTTTGCTTTGCTTTTACTATCCTTTTATTCTGATCTTTCTTCTAAACTTAGGCTCATGCAATAGATTATCTTGCCAAAATCTCCAAAAAAAAAAAAGAAAAGTTTAATAATTCCATTTTATTTCTATCCATTCTATGCTTGTGACACTCCCAAAAGGACGCTATAATTCTTTGCTTGTTGGATGTGAACCTCATTGTACTTGCATTGGTCATCACCTCACTAAGCAAGCTGTTTGTTACCTGAATGTACTAAATTTAATAATTTGGGTCTTATGTACTAAGTAATTTATTTAGTGAATCAAAATTAGGGAACCATATTTGGTCCTAATGTTATTGTTTATGCTAATGTAACCTTTTAGTTTGTGATCGGCATACATGTTTTTGGTATGATGTTTCATCTAAACGTTTTTTTTTTGTCTTCTTGGGTAGGTATTTGCAAAGGCACAGGTTGATGCTCTAACAGCAAAAGCTTGGTTTATGGAAAGCAAGGAAGTAGAGAGGCAGGTTGGAATTTTTATCTATCGGAATATCTATTTTGTATTGATATTTGATACATTTATGCATAATAGCTGATTGTATACTCATCTAATTCTTGTTAATTTCTGAGTTATTCTGTAGGTTGCAGAGATTAGTATGCAAACAGGAGTCCTATCAGAATACACTCGCATGATTCTTTTCCAGACAGATGCGTGGAATCAAGGACCGGATGCCATCACAATACAAGGGGTATGTATTTGGAGATTGTCTTTAAAGTTTGGATCCACCTTAACAATGCAATTATTCTTGACTCAGCAATACAGCATACTTGAAAATTGAGTATTACCTTCTAATAGGCTATACAGTTTTAGCCTATTTATTCATTGAATTCAATGATGGATTTTTGTAAAACACTATGTTTTCAGAATTGACGCCAGTTTAACCCTTTCCTGTTTGTGACACAATCAGACACTCTCACTCACACAACCCTTATATAAACTGAAGCATATGACTCTGCATTAACCATGATCATTTTATTAAGTGTTAGGTCGCTTTAATTTTTCCATTTGGCCTTACTACAATCTAACCATGATTTTTTTTTTATACAACTCTACGTTCATTTTGTCGTCTATATAGAAAGAAGCATATGACAAAAGTAGTCTGCAGAAGATGGTCAGAAGTCAAAAGATAATTATATTGCAGAGTATGGGTGTTGGCTTTGGGGATCTGGAAAAGACTGCTGAAAATTTGCCTCCAGGGGTGATCGTGAAAGCTCCTGATACAACAGAGTTTTTAGTCAATGCTGCGACTGGTTACTGTGGCAAGTTGCTTGATCGATTCTGTTGCATGTGTTTTATACAGACACTCTCTAAGGTGAATGATCGATGTATAATCACTTTCTCCCAAGTATGTGCTGCCCTCGCATGTTTTCAGTGCATCGATTGTTGTTTTGATCTTTGCGACAATTGTTGCTAGCTCTAGACCAAAGCAAAATGTATTGTTAAGATATATGTATAATATATGTGTCTGTATAAATTGTAAGTTGTGACATCCTCTTCGAGAGGACAGTTTGTTGTTACTCTACATGAATTCTGGACCTAGCTATATTAAGTGCTGGTCTTGGGATCTTAGCTTAGCTGTTGAGGGAGCCAATGGAAGGAAAAGAAGTATGGAATCCTATAATTTGTTCCTAGCTGAGTAAACCTTAGAAGCGGGTTAATGGGGATGGATGTTGTGCATTTCTTAGAAGGGAATTGAAATAACAGGAAGGACGTTGCTTATGGTTTTTTTTTTTTGGTCCAAAGACTCAACATTAACTCGAGCATTAACCATGATGATCATCTATACCGATTGAAACCCTGTTACAAGACTTACATCTATAGTGGATCTGAATCTATTGGTGCTTTCATAAAACTTGAGGACTTGAACTCCGCTAAATAGGTTAAATAGTATTGGATGGTTATTTGCAAAATTTGGGTTTGAATTCTATCTACATGATTTGCTCTTAATGACTACAAAAAAGACTAGTTACAATCTTAAAAGCAAATCATAAACACTAAATTTTTCTTATACATTTCCTCGCATCTATTTTGCCACAAGGCAAGCCATGGGTCATACCTCATAAATTCAATAGACAATACTAACAAGTGTTGCGTATGCTCTTAAGCACAACCCATCTAGAGGCACTCAGCCACACTTAAAATCACTCTCTTTTCACCCCTTTAGTCCTTCACTTGATTCATTTATTTACTTTTCATACCATTTTCTGCTCTCTGTAATTTGCTCTTCTATATAAAATTGTCCCAAAATGAATGATACACATGTTATGGGACAAAGCACCTAAAAATTTTCAAGAGATCAACACGATGCACACATCTTTTCTTTTAAACATTTTTCGATCAGGTGACATCATTTTTTTTATGGGGGGGGGAGAGGGGTCATAATCATGTCGCATTGCATTGTTCAAATACTCCACCCTTATGGCTAATCATTATAATTAAACATAATTCAACTGTGCATTTTTAAGATAAACTAGTTTCATGTAGAAAATGTTCAATTCTTAATGTGTCTAAACTAATCATTTATGAAATTCAACTTAAATAATCAAAACATATTTCGCAGCAGAAGAATTCATTTAAACTATATATTTTCATTTGAAATTCAGCTACGAAGTAAAACTATCGAAACCTACTTTGTCTAAACAAGATAGAAGATGATAGGCTGGCTTAAATGCTCAATCAAATGACTACATACTCTGTAATTTTTAACTTTTTATAGATAAAATAAAGGGAAAATAAGGCACGTCTTCTTCGTCGTCACTAGATATGGCCTATTGCATAATCTTGATTTGGATTTGGACCATTAATAATCAATAATAATAACAATTAAATACTAAAACAGACACCGGGAGTGACACGTGTCACATCATGGTTCTATTTTTTCCCTCTAAACTCCTCTTCTTTTTTGGCCAAAATAATTTTGTAGAATATTTGTACAATTCAACTATAATAATTTTATTCCAAATCTTTTATGAATATTAATTTTTTATTTGGTATTTTTTATTCTTCCATACCCATTTACCTAAAATATTTTTAATTCTTGTATAATTATCTTTTATAAGGAGTATTATATTTTGCCAAAAATTTAATACCCTTTCATTACCTTTTTTCAATATTCATTTACTAACTTTGACCATTATTTTTTATTAACGTTAAAATATCAATTTTATTATAAAATAATGGGACATGCATACAAATTTCACATTAGAATTACCATTACATTAAAATAACATAGATTAGTGGGGGTCGTTGGAAAAAAAACATTTATATTCATATTATTGATTTGAAATCTTATTAAACAATAAAAATTGAATTAATTTTCTGTAAAATATTAATGTAATTTTACCAACTTCTAATTTTTTTTTAAGGTTTTCTATATCAATTTTATTATAAAATAACGGGACATGCATACAAATTTCACATTAGAATTACCATTACATTAAAATAACATAGATTAGTGGGGGTCGTTGGAAAAAAAACATTTATATTCATATTATTGATTTGAAATCTTATTAAACAATAAAAATTGAATTAATTTTCTGTAAAATATTAATGTAATTTTACCAACTTCTAATTTTTTTTTAAGGTTTTCTTTTAAAAAAAATTCCAAAAAAAATTGATAAGGACATAGATAAAACTTTGTGAAATGTGAGATAAAAAATAAAACACTAAAAATAACAAAGGAGAAAGAATTTTTAGATTTCCTCAATAATGTGCATGCTTTAATGAATGGTCTGTTCTGTTCACCTTATTTTCACTTATTTCAGGTCTAATAAGTTCATGTAAGTTCAGATAAGTTAAGTTCAGGAAAAATAAGTTATGATAAGGGTTACCCAAGTACAAATTACGACTAAAATAAGTTTTAATAAGTTTCAAAAAGTTAAATTAAGTTCAGATAATTAAGATTAGATAAATTAAGTTAAGTTCGGATTAGTTCAGATAAGTGAAAATCAGGTGAATAGAATACACCCGAAGTACAAATTGTTGTACAATTAGTTTTATTTATTTATTTATTTTTATCTAAAATATGAGTTCATACATTAAACTTTTGCTTTTCATTTTGATATAGATTTATGACATTGTACTTTCTATAGGTTTGATATGTATGTTTTATCAAATTTTGTTTGTTAGATTTTGTTTTTTTTTATAAGAAAAATAGACATACCGTGCATGGCACGAAGCCTAAATTTAACTAAAACAAACACCAGGAATGACACGTGTCACTTTCTGGTGTAGTTTTTTCCCTTCAAATTTTTTTTTTTAAAAAAAAAATTAGTAATGAAAGATATTCTTAATCATTCTATATATTTTTTTTTGTCTCTATGTATTTATGGAAATAACTAAAAATAAAATATTATAATAGACTTTAATAACTAGACTTTATTCTCCTGAGTTTTCACTGGCAGTCCCACTTCTCTACTTTTGTCACCCTGCTGCTTCTTATTTCCCCCTTGAACTATTTTATTTATCTCCTTTAGCACCCTAGTTGCACTCTCTTCCATTGTCTCACCCTCACCATTTCCACCCACTAGAGTAATGCATGGTGAGGAGAATTGTAGCTTTCGGGCAGCCTTCAGAGGTCCTAATTTTACAACATTAGGATCTTCATAGCTCGGTCTTGGAACAATTTCTTTGCCTTTCAATCTGCTCAATAGTGCTTTCTCTTTTTCACTGTCAGCCACAAAAGTTTTTGGTCTTTTCCTTGGCGAACCCCTCAGACCATACTTGTACACAATTTCCGCCTTTGCAGCATTTTCCTCGCTAAAGAACATACTGTCTCGCTCAACATGTTTACTTCTTCCACAATAATAACAGAATTCCATCAATCTTTCATACTTGATGGCCACCCACTTAGATGCATTCTGCCCTGTAGCTATTTTGATTCCCCTGCGCAAAGGTTTATTCAAATCAAGCAAGACCTTCACTCTCATCACCTCTCCCCATCCCAAGGGATCAAATTCGTCATACTCAATGAAACCACCCATGCTTTCACCAATCACACGAGCACTAGTAGAAAACAGGAAATGAGCACCGGTTCAAAAACGGCCTTTTGCACCGGTTTTGAACCGGTCTAGATTTGAGGGATGCAAATACTCGCACCGGTTTAGAAGCGGTGGCATTACTTGTTATTAGCACCGGTTAACCGATGCTAATAATAGGTACCCACTTTTATAAATAAAAAAATAGATAAATAGAAAAAAAAAATCACTACTTTGGCACCGGTTAACCGGTGCCTTTAATGCCCAAAAAAAACAATATTTTTTTTTGTTGGCTTTTTTCATCTGAAATTGTCAACGGACTGTTATATATATACGTAATGTAATCCCCCGTATTTTAAATATTTTATAAATGAAATTTTATTTTATTTATAATATTTATTTGTATTTTTCCAGAATTTAAGTTTCAAATTATTAATTTGGGTCAAAAATTATTTTAGGCTAAATTAATTTATGAACATATATCCTACAATCCAATATCATAAAAATAAATCCTAACCAATTTGTTTATTTAACTAGCCCGGCCATTATTTTCATGAGGTTCAATTCTACCCTACAATTCTCTCTTATAAATACCCAATGAATCCCCAAATTTTCCCCCACACAAAAAGGTTAGTCTTATTTTCTTCCTCCTTTATTTCTTATTTTTTCATAAAGCTTATGTAATTGATTTTTGGTTTTGGTTTTGGTTTTTATTGCTTGAAATTAGTTTATTTAGTATCAAAATCATGTTTTTGATGTTTTAAACTAATAAATTTCAGATTATAATTGTTGTTTTAATTTTCAGATTTTGTAATTTTGAACCTAGGGTTTTAATTTAGTTAAATTGGGATTTTAAGGTTCTAATGATCAATTAATTTGGGGCTTTTGTTCCTATTGAATTTCTAATGATTAATTAAGCATAAAAACAAATTTTCAGTTTTCCGTAATCAACTTTGATCTCCGTTCTTAATTTTTTTCAATCACGTTTTAATCACGTTTAGATTCTAACTCGTCTGATTTTTCGTGTGTAAACAATGTTTTTGAGCAGTTTTTGATTTTTAACGAAGGTTTAATGTTTAAAATAAATTTTCAGATTTTTATAAAGCTTTAAACTTGCTGTAATTTTATGAATAAGTATGTATTTTAATGTTTTTATGTAGGAAATTTAAGAATATTATATAAGCTTTTAATTCTAGCAAAAAGGAAGGTTTTAAAGTGTTATTTAATTGAATTTTGAAGGTTTGATTGAGTTTTTATGAAACTAGTTGAATTCTAATTATATATTTCAAGTTTAGATTGTTGTATTCATACATTCTACTATTAAATTAAATTTTCAGATTTTTAATCTTGGTTTTAAAAGTTTTAAATCATGGTTTTATGATGGATTTTTAGGTTTTTAACATACTAACCTACTATATAATGATTATTTCAAGTAGAGATGTTTATGAGGTTATTTTATATTCTTAAACTAAATTTCCATATTATAATCCTTACTTTAAAGTTGCTGGATTTTTATGTTAGAAGCTATATTTTCATGATTTTAACATATAAACTTATATTTGAACTATTGAATTATTAACTTTGACTATTGTGAGTAATTTAAAAGCATTATTACAATGGTTTAAGAGGTTTTAAAGTAAGTTAGTATTGCTGTAAATTATATTGCTTGGGTATTGATTGAATTATTATTTTTTGGTTTAGGAGAGGACTTTGTAGAAGGCGATTTCTAGTTCCTAGAGTGGCCAACCAACTTGTTTACTCAAGGTACGTACAAGGATACGAAAACCTTGATTTTAGAAGCATGTTTAAGGACTTGAAAAACCTTAGAATCATGTTAGGAAACTTGTGGATTGGTTGGAATTGTATGGTAGTAAGTTTGATTGATGAATAATGTGATGATTGGTTTTGTTTCATGTATGAGAGTTGCGTATTAATTTATCTTGTAAGCATTATTTATGCATAACTTGCAAGATGAGCTAAGAGGCTAAGGTACATAGATATGTGGAATGAATTATCTTATTACTTGTTTAAGCTTATGAATTGGAATGAGTAAATGGAGAACTAAAGTCTTATGAGACGAGGTTACTAATTTGAGGTGCCTTATGCACTTAAGGTGTTTATACACCGAGGTAGTTAAAGGATTCAATAATAAATAATTGTTTGTCACTAATAAATTAAGAATTGAGTTGGAAGCTTGGATTATTTGAATGATTGATGTATGATTGGTTGTATTGTTTTGCATTGAGTCATCACCAAGTTTAAACTGGTAAATCACGTAAAGTGCAAAAAGGATGAACAATAAAACTCTGGATTTGTGCACATCTAGAGTATTGACAAACAGGGGTTTGGGTTCACGGGGTATTAGCCATGTACTTTTCAGAGGCCGTCTGATCTACGAGTCTCTTATTTTCAAATACTTTTAAAATTATAAGGAGTTAGATGAGATCTCATACTAGTTATGGCCACGGAGTCGCGCGCGTCTGCCATTGGATGTTTATTAATGTTCCCGAAAGGAGGCATAGGGTTTTCTTTTATTAATGTTCCGAAATGGAGCATAGGGGGACAACGTGGTCTATTGCTTAATCCAATCAATGAATGAAATGAATTATTTATTATTAATTAATGGAGTCTTAGTAATGTTAACAATTGAGTCATGTGTTCGAGCCAATGATTATATTGTGTGTGTGCAGATTGATTTTTAGTAACATGCTAGGGCTCTTTGCTATATTTCGTAGCTTGTATGTACTCAGCGTTGCTGATTGCGTGCTTTTGTGTGTCTTTTCTTGGTCATGGCCTTCGCCTTTCAATGACCTGTAATGATCCAATTTTTACACTTGTAATATTGGGGAGCAGATTAATCACAGGTCTTACCTAATAAGAACTTGCATCAAGGTGATGGGATTTTGAGTGGAGTGTTGGTTAATCTCACAGTTTATTTCATTTCATTTTATTTCATAAGTTGGATTTATTTTGACTCTGATTTTATTTACTTACTATTTTAACGGGTTTTGAATAAGGGTCATAATGGTTCCAGTTTGTAAGACTAAATTTGGTTTTGATTATTGGTTTTGGAAACTTATTTAAAACTGAGTTAGTTTTTCCGCTGCTAAATTCTGAACTAGCCTTAACGTTTGAACACGTGGCGGTAGCACGTCAGTAATTCTCTTGCAGGTTATTAAAGGTATTTACAGGTTTTGAAAGAGAGAATTATTGGGGTGTTACACATAATATACTTAAAACTAATAATTTCATTGATAACCTGTAATTTTACACTTGAAAAAAAAAAGAATAAAAAACATTCGATACATTCACTATAATAAGAGCAGCAACAACTTCCTACAATCACTAGCAGAGCAGCAGCATCACAATTGCTAAACAACAGCAGCTCCGAAGCAGCAACATAGAACAGAAATGCAGCGTTCATTGTATGCCATAGAGCATCCTCAATGCAGCCTGAATTTTGTTATTTCATGCATTAGTAAAAAAATATATCTCAAGGCAAAGAGATCAACTAGTTTGTATAGTAAGATTTCAATCATAACCTCAAACGACATTAAGGTCAATATGAGTACTTGTTACCCTCTTCGGCTCTTCCAATAGATGGGTTTTGTCATGAGTAAAGCCATCAGTTATTAGACACGAAAGACAAAAAGAGCAATTTAAAATCAATGTAATTCCAAGAGAGACTATGACAACAACCAGACTTAAGAAACCACATGTAAAGATAATGACAATGTTTAAATATACAACAAGGATTTTGAAAAGTTACAACTAAGCAATTCATTTAATGGTTCCATGATGACTTGAGGGACGAAAGGAATATAACAATTGTCATTAACATGGAGTATGTGTCAAACCCAAAGTAGATAATATATGGGACAGAGGGTATACAAAGTTTCAGCAAACATATTTGCTTGCTTCCTTGTAATTTCTGCTTTCATTCACCAGCCATTCAACTGTCTCAACATCTATAATACTATAACTATCCATTCTCAAATCAACTACTAAGATCTTCTTTATACCCATGCTTTTTTTTTCATGTTCCTTCCTAGTTTACATCACCACTTAATATTTTGGGGAAAAAAAAAGCAATCAAAATTTATATATTAGACTACAAGAATTTATGGACAAATGAGCAAAGAACCTTCAATTTTCTATCCAATAAGCCAATCAAGTAAGCTCGTTTCTGAGTAGAGACAACAATCATTGTTTTGCACATAATTCTTCACAACTATTTTATAGCAACAATTGGTTATAAATAAACAAGGCAACATACCATTTATGCCTCTCCCATCGACGTCTTCTCTCAAGACTAAGTCTAAGAGCATGCTTAGCAATCAAATAGACACCAAAGGCAGTGAATGCATAAGACAGGTTTGCAAAATGCAAAAAAAAAAAAAAAAAAAAAAAAAAAAAAAAAAAAAAAAAAAAAAAAAAAGGGTTGTACCTAGCCCATTTCCAAGATATGCAATTAGTTGGTCAACAATTTTCGGAGAAACATAAAAAGGACCTTTGTGAGGGCGCTGAATGCGAATTATCCCTACATCGTCTTTGATAGCTTGCAAATGTAAAAGATAACACCAAGAATTAATTGAAGCCTATTAATGTAAATATACATATATATATATAAATAAAATTAGTGATCAAATGAAATAAGAAGCTAGATACTATTAAGTCTTAACAGGTTACATGTGTAGAGAAGGAAAGGACGCAGATATATAATCAATGGCACATTTCCGTATGATCAATCAAAAAAGCATAAGGTTTCTAAATAGCATACAAAGCTACCTACATCAGCCATGTAACCTTGAAGCTCTCCGAAATTCCATTCTAAAGGGGGGGGGGATAGGAACCAGTAACAGGCAGGCAGCAAAATTCCTCAGGATCCTCTTATAGAAGACAAATGGTCAATGAATGCACAAACTCATCCATCTCAGGTAACAACAACACCGTATAAAATATAACAACAATAAGTTTGGCAAAATTTCAAATTGATAGCACAGAAGCTAATGCTTACACCAGCATCCTGCTAACTACATACACATCCAAAAAATAATGTTTTAACAAAACCCATGACTGAGTTACTTTATTGGTTGGTTCCATGATGTAATCAATTAATTGCTTATTTGTAGCACACAGAACATTGGAGATGTAACCAATATAAATTCAAACATAGGAAAAAGAAATGTAACAACTACTGCTAAAGACTACAGTAAAAGGCATACAAATGGAAAATCCTCGACTATATACCCGTTTTAAAGTTGTCATCAACCCTTACTCTTCAAGTGAAGGTTTTTGAATTGCTCCTTAAATAATTAGTTTATGGGTTTAGGGTACGGAAAAACAAAATTTAGGACAATTTAGGAAGTGATTAATCACCCATTGCCCCTTCTAATCATTCACACTCTAATCATATAAATAAAATAAACAATAATCAAATTCACAATCAAACCAACTCTATATATTTCCAGAAACTAAACAAGAAGACTAAAATAGGAACTAAAGCAAAGGAAACAAAGAGCAACTCTAAAAATTAATCCTAATACACAGAATCTCAAATAACACACCAAGAACAAAGAGCAATCAATTATCATACCAATCAATCCACCAACTCTATATAATTCAAATTAATTTCACCCACTCCAAAAATTTAGAGTAACCAAAAAAAAAAAAAAATTCAATCAATTAACAACATGTTCACCATGTCATCGAGCTCATCACAGAATAACCACAACTAATCCGAGCAGCAAAATCATAAATACAACCAAAACAATCAAAAATCGCATCTTCAGCACTACAACCAGAATCAAACAATACCCTAATTTCAAATCAGAACAACCAAATCTCAACCAAATAAAAAAATTAACCTCTTCAAATCAAACAAGGGGTAGATCTGGGCTCATGTTCATCACGAGAAAGAGGGGATTTGGAGATGACTGAGGATGAGGCGGCGGAACGCAGTGAAGAAGAGGAGAAATCCAAGCATCGACTCTTGCACCATAATCACAAAAAAATAAATAAAAATCAGTCGCCTTATCATCTCACCATTAAATTCAATCAAAATTTCAATTGTTCATCATTAATCGCAAAAAAAAGTAAATAAAAATCAGAAACCCTAGATTTCAAATCGAAGAGCACATACCTTCGTGAAGAGATCCACCACCATTGCAAAGATCCGGCGCCGGTGAAGAAATAAACCCGTCACCATCGCCGCCGCGATGGTTAGTGCGAGGGTAAATGAAAGAGAGAAAAAGAGAGCTGAGAGGAGAGTGAATGTGAGGTGGGATGGATAGAAAGACAGATAGCTAAGAGGAAAGTGCGCCAGCGAGGTGGAATGGACGGTGGCACAGTGGAGAGAGGAAAGAGAGAGAGAAGAGGGAGATCTAGTTGAGGAGAGAGGAGAGAGGAGAGAGAAGAGAAAGTGAGAGAACGAGAGATCGAGGAAAGAGAAAGAGAGAAGAGGGGAAAGAGAAAGAAAATAGAGGGGCGGGTTTTTTTTCTTTAACATTCACATCTGTTTAAACCGGTGCTATTAACTCACGTTCGCACCGATTCTGTTAGAACCGGTGCGGTTACTCTTTAATCAACTCCCGCCTTGTTTTTTTCACATCGGTTTTTAATAACCGGTGCTAATTTCTCGGTGCTCATTTATGTTTTTCTACTGGTGGAGCCACTGACACATTCCCTCGATTGAAAGGGACATCCTCAAGTTGAATCCAAAAAGGGGAAGCAGAAAATTCAATTTCAGAGGGTTGCTCTTCACCATTAATTTCTTTGAGAACTAGGAGTTTATCATCAAAGAACCAAGGCTTCCATCTATCACTTGCCTTTTCACACTTTCACTGACAAATTGGAAAATAAACAAATTCGATTCCATCATACGAATTACCACGCTGTCTTTAGCACGCCAAATCAAGATTAGGGTTCGCTTAAAAGCTTCAAAATTAAATGTTTTGTTTGTCAGCAATTTCCCAATTAGAGATAGGGAAATTTGGGATTTCGTTTCCTCATCGGCACAATCATCCAAATCACCACCAATTACCGCTTCTTCGTCATCAGTCAATTTGAATTTCTCCATTTCTTTTGCTAATTTGTTCTCCATGGGAAAAGAGACAGAACACAAAAGCAAGAAACGGGGAAAAGAAAGGCACCTTACCACTAAACCCCAATGGGGACGCACAACCAGTTTAACAAGGAACCCTAAAACCAAGAACAAACTCCTTCTTCGTTTCTTTGGAGCGTGCTACTTTTGAAATAAGATTATATTATAATATTACTTTTGAAATAACTAGACTTTAAATTATAGTACTAGATTATATTATAATATAATAATAAAAAGAACTAATTTATCGCATACATTATTTATCGCAGTATTATATTTAAATTGATATATCAAATATATACATATTTTTCCATCTATATATTTTTGGCATTAATCATACATAAAAGTTGCATGAATATGTAACTATCTATTTTTTTTTTTTTCAATCATAATATTTTTAGATCAAAACTACACTTTTATGAGTAAGCTGTAAGCATATATTTAATTCAACTAATTGATACTCTAATAGAAAAATTATCTTAATAATGTACTATTAATATATTTTTTTAGTATATGAGTCATATTTTAGTGTATTTTAGTCAAATTTTACATAAGTCTTATGAAATAACTAATCATTTTCCATAGCCTTATATAATTGATTTTTTTTTTTTTTTTTTTTTTTTTTTTTGTAAAACCTATATATAGAGTTTTCTTTGTAAGACCTTTAGGTCCTTTACTAATTTGAGGTGTTTATGATAAATTTGATCCAACTCCTTCTAAAATTAACTCCGCCTATATAATGTTAATAAAAAATTTATTTCATAATTTTTGTGTTGGCCATTAATATAAATTATATGCGTTTATTAATATACTAGATTCCACTAATACTTAAAATTTTAATTTATTTTATATTATCAATAAAATAAATATTTTTTAAAACTGTGCATCACACGTACTGTACTGTACTAGTTTGGTACCAAAAACGTTTGGCCCCTTCATTCTTTTTCCCGCTCTCAAATTCTCTCCTCTATGTATCCCCTTTTTTCTGCAAATATAACCCTTAATCTTCAAAATTCTGCACTTTTAACCTGTTTGCTCCCAAATTTGTCTGCAATTCTCCAATTAATTTCATCAATGGCTTCGCATTCTCACAGATTTCTCTCCATCTTCATCATTTTAGCCGCCTTTTGCCTGAGCAGGTAACGTTTTTTTTTTTTTTTTTTTTTTTTTTTTTTCTCTCTTTTTAAAAAAAAAATAAAATTTCTCTCCTGTTAATTCTTAATTATTGCGGCAGTTTAATCCTTCAAATTATTTAGTGCGTTTGATGTTTATTCGTTTAATTTTATGATAGTTGAATCGCTGAAATCAACAATGTTTTTCGCCGCAATTTTATTTATTTTCCAAATATTGTGAATTTTCATGTTAATTGCTGATTTCCGAGATTAATCGCAAATGCTGACGTATCAGAAATATATGTTCGATGATTTTGTCAATTGAATGACTGCGATGATCATCGGTGTTGATTTGATGTTCAGCGATTTGTGTGCATTTTTGTTATTAGTAATTTTTTGATGATAGACATTAGAATCAAACATAGGGTTTCGCATCTGTGCGATTACATTTAGTATTGAGGCTTCCGTTGTGTTTTGCAATTGCGGTTGTTGTCGTGTGGCTTCCACTTTCCATGTTGATACTATGATTTGATGTCCTTTGGCACAAGGGCCAGTACTCAATTTTTTCCATAGTAATACAATGTACACCAATGTCCGGATTGATTTGAATACTTGAACTATTTATTTTTGGTCTCTGAAAAGCCTTTTTTATTCGTAACTATTCAAAAGGTCGGTATTTTGATGTTGAGAGGTGAAAATCTTAAGGGACAAACAGAAGAGTTCAATGAATTGTACATGGTGGGAATCAAGAAAAAAACTTATAATATGGAATGACATATTTTTCGGGATGCTTCAACTGAAGATCATATATAATGTTAGGATGGATGGAGTTCTTGATAAGAACTACCTTTGTTGTCTGATCATCTTGTGTTCTTAATCCTTGATTCTGCGGTATACATGAATCACATGCTATGTCAATTATATTCTTCTTCAGTCCCACACTCTCACGTATAATCCATTCTTGAAATGTTAGATCTCTATGTCCCCTTTCTCGTCCAAGTCTTGTCCAGAAGCTTTTTTCAGCATCATTCATCTAGATAATATTGATCTTAGGATAGTGGTTGAAAATACTCAGTTGTGAGTTCTAAAAAATGGAAGTATTTTCTTATGCCAATAACTCCTGATGGAAAATGAGACACAAGCAAGTGCTCCAACATACATGAAGTAGATTCTTATAGCATTCATGTAGCTGAGAGCCTAATGAATATGGAACTTTTTATAACATGCTCTCCTACCTTGTTGATCTATATCATTGTTTGAGGTTTTTTTTGATATTATCATTGATGCTTGACGGACCAAATAAGATAATGCTAAGCCCTTAGCAGCATATTTTGCTTGAATTGTTTTGGAGTGGACATAAATGATAAATCTAGATTGTGGGAAGTTATTACTCTGTAAATAACTATCATGTTATCATTGCATAGATGTGGTAGACTATTCTTTGTCAGTTGATAATTAACCTCATCTATGGACATACCTCATCTGTTGAGATAATTGCTTTAATATTTCATTTTTCTATTTTTATTTCTGCTAGTAATAACTGAGTCAGACCATTTACTACTCACTTGTGCAGTAGATGCAGTTTCAATTTCTGAGATTTTTGCCCTAGAACAAATAATGTATCCATTTGTTTGGTTAGACTATTTTAAACACATGAAATTATGCAGATTTTCTTGCTGCGGAGGAATGGAGAAGGAGAAAACATTTGCTATGATAAAGCCAGATGGAGTTTATGGTAATTACAGTGATAAAATAAAAGCTATAATCATGGATTCTGGGTTTAGTATTAAGAGGGAGTTGAGGGTTCAGCTTGATGAGGATACTGTAAGAAGCTTCTATGCTGAACATTCTTCTAAAAGCTTTTTCCCCAGTCTTGTCAAATACATGACAAGGTATGTGATCAGCCGATCAAGTTTTTCTACTTTAACTTAGTCATTAACTCATTAATGTATAGTTCGATAAATTGGAATTATATTACTCCCTCTGTCCCATAATACTTGACACGGTTACCAATTTCGTCCGTCCCAAAATACTTGACACGTTACTAAATATGGACCACTAATAAAAAAATATTTTCCTATACTCTCTTTGGGACCACAAACCCCAAAACCCAATCAAAATCTACATTTTCTCTCTCCTCACTACCCCCACGTCCCCCACTTTTTGTTTTCTTACAATATAAAAATACAAAAGGGAATCGTTTATATAATAAACAAATGTTCTAATTGGACCCACTTATAGTTTTCTTAAACTACGTGTCCACTCCAACGTCCCAAGTATTATGGGACGGAGGGAGTAATAGTTTATCTATATATATTTTTCTATCTTTCTTCCTTGTTATCTGTCCACTTGACATTTTCATTTTTTAAAATACCAATGTGATTTTACTCAAATTGTTTTGATTACAATGCAATAATCAATTCCTTTATATGGTGCCTAATTTTAAAAGATGCTTTCTGAGAAATAGAGAAGTGTAAAAGTATGTGGATTTTTAAGTTTCAGTTGGGGCTATCGTATCAGTATTGTGCTCTCTGATTACTTAAGTTGTGTGGAATACTTTCCTAAGGGAATTAAAGATTTACCAATATATGAATTTTAGGATATATGTAGCTTATAAAATTGTCTGCCTTTTGGTTATTTCATTGTGATCTTGTAGGTGGTTTTTTGCATATAAGATAAGAGTTAATTGGGCACAGCATGTGCTGTCACAGCCTCACAGGGGTAGTATTAGTGTTAGATTATGTCATGTCTGATGCCTCATTTTGTTTGAATTTTGGGAAACTTGCTTATGCCATCTTAGTGGTGGGAATTGGCTCTCTGTTATGTTAGAAAATTCCGAATGTTTCAAGAAGCCTAAAGTTGCTCTAACTTTAGCATTTTTCCATGCATTAATGGCAAAGCCAATAAGATGTGTTATCTATTTCTCACAAATTATATCTTTGCTATGTAAATGGGGTATTGGTGGTGGAGTAGTGCATGTGGAGCCTACGAAAGTTTCATTTTCTGCATCAGTATTCTTGCTTATGTATATATTCTTATACCCACAGGCCACAGCAATATGTCATAAAGATTTTACTATGAATTCTTCTCTAATGTGATTAGTGCATGTCAAATTGTCAATTATGTTTTTGTTTCATGGCAATTCCATAAAGCCCAAATATTATCTATGTATGGAAAATATATATAAGAAGATTTTTTCTTCAAAGGGGGTGGGGTGGGGGAGGTTATTGAATGGTCCAGTTAATCATCCATCTGTAAGCATGAATTGATTACTCAACTTGTCTTCTATATCTCTTACCAATCTGACATTTGTTGTTCAGTGGTCCAATCTTGGTAATGATCCTGGAGAAGGACAATGCTGTTGCTGATTGGCGTAAGCTGATTGGACCCACTGATGCGGAGAAGGCTAAGGTCACACATCCTCAAAGGTTGTTCGCATCTGCAGAATCCTCACTCTTTAAGCTTTTTTAAATCTTTATTTCCTTCTGACTCCATGCTTTTCTTTTGGGCATAAAGTTGGCTTACTATTTGATGGTCTACTGAGGTACTTGTTTCAATGGGAGAACTTTTTATCTTGCCAAATTTTGCTTCTCATTTTGAATTTTTCCATTTTGCTTTCAGCATCAGAGCAATGTGTGGCTTAAACACAGAGAAGAATTGTGTCCATGGCTCTCATTCTATTCAATCTGCTTCAAGGGAGATGTCATTTTTCTTTGGTATGCTTGTTGAATGCATGGTATTTTTTTATTTTATTTATTTTTTTATTTATTTTTTTTTATTTTATTTTTAAGGCAAACCAAACTGTTGTTTGAGGTGTTTGAGAAAAATGCCAACAAGATGCTTCTCTATTAGATATTATCGTGTTGGAAACAGCAGGAAAGACTGAACATTAATATAATGTACAACCTCTGAGTTATACCCATCTATTGTAGCAAACATAAATTAAAGAAAATTCAAGAGGGGGCCACCTCAAAGTCAGGGTACACTTCTCAGACATGGGTACTTGTCCAAGTGTTCTCTGACATTTTGTGAAGTTTTTCCTTGATTTTTGGTCTAAAATGAAGTGTCCAATTGTGCTACTCATGTTGGAGTGTCGAAGATCATACATAGCATGAAGGTACTTGAAATGGAATGAAGAGGCTGAGTAACATAGCATGAGGGTACTTTACTTTTAGGAGGAGAGATAGAAAGTAAGGAAATAAGGAATATTACAAGCCTAAAAGGTGGGGTAAGAAATGACAAAATATGTATAAAATATTGACATAAAGGGATTAAAGTAAAAGTGTGCAGAACTCAAGAAAATGGAGGAAGTACATAGTTTAGTAGCTCATATGGAACAAGGGTATAAATGTATAATAGATGTTTTACATTACCACTGATGAGCTCCAATTCGAGTATTTTCAATTGGATAAGTTAAACTCTTATTAGTAGATGGCAATTTAAGACTTTAAACATTCACATTTAGAAATTAGATTTGTAAAATGTAAAAAGTCAGAATACCTGTTGTTCCTGTTTAGGATGCTTTAGTCTTGAGCTATTATATGATTCTTAAGTTTAAGAGAGTACTTATGTGACTGAACTTAATTGACCTGTGATATACTTTGAGAGTTATGTTGTGACGGTGAAAGAAAGTTAAAAGTCCGATCAGTCTCTGCTCCAGTTTTGGCTCATAGATTATGGGCCAGCAATTACAGATTGGCATGCTTGATCTTTTAGAACTAAGAAAAGCTTGTTGTGACTAGTAACTTTTATTATTAAAAACTTTGACGGTAAATCATTTACTTAATGATTTTATTTTTTATTTTTTTTTTTTATTCTTTCTTTGTTCGCTTTATTGCAGATGCACAAGACATACGGCATGATGAGTTGTGAAGGTACACCATAGCCAAATAATTATCCTTACATTTCATCCCTTCTTTGTATTCATGAATATATGATGTAATATTAAATGATTTACGATTGAGGTCTAGCTCCCTTTCCTTCCCTTAGGGGCCTTTATTAATGACCAAATTGTTTTAAAAAATGAGGTAGCTAGGCTTAAATTGATTATGCTTCTCATGGGTTGCATAACTTAATTTAGGGCTACTCTGCTCATTTTGTATGCCAGTTATTGGTTGAAGTTTTGATGATCTTTTTGTGAATAGTTTATCAGCTACTATGTATGTTAATTTAGGCAAATAAGAAGAGGTATAACAGTTGATTGATAGGTGGTTTTGGCTTGCACAATGTGCTATTTTCATCAGGTAAATGTTCTATTATAGTTTTGATACTAGGTTAAAGTTGATAAGATATTTCTTGCAGAGGACTGTAGCTCAACCTTTTCTAGTCAGAAATGTTATCTCTGGACCAGATGTGAAGTGGTTGTAGGATCTATCTGAGTCTTGGTAGTCAAACTTGGGCATTCTCTATAGGCTATTGTCAATTATAATTATGTGTCATCTGCTTACTATCATTGAATTACCCAAGTCCATGATTGACCCTAATAATAACTTTTGGTAGCATAAATTGAATTTAATACAAGATCTTTGCCTCTTTATTAGCATCTTTCCTTGAGACAATCTCCTATGCATCTTGGAAGTGAGTAGTTTGAAAGCTATTACTTCCTCCATTCTGGAATGACTTCCTTTTTTGTGGAATAGGCTGTTTGCTGTTGAAACAGTTGGTTGTGTTTGCAATCTTCATGGAGCACTTGTAGAGTTTGCATGTACACAATGTCATTTTTGGGTAGTAATAAGGAAAGGAAACTTTTATGACCGGTAAGTATGCTTTATTGTCCTTCGGGTAAAAAATAACCATGTATTGATACTTAATGAGATTAGCATAGTGCCATACTTTATAAACTTATTAATTTGATTTTTGAGGACTCCTGTTCCTATTCTCCATTTGATTATTGTTAACAGAATTTTATCTATCAGAAAATTAAAGAAAAATAAATTGAAGCTCCATGTATGTCTGTATCTAACAGAAATGGGCACAAGTCACCATCAACAAGATGTAGTTAGATGATATCCACTAAGAAATATCCTGTAGAACACACAGACACATTCAATGGCATGCCTAGATATGACAACCATCCACAACTTCACCCCTTCATAGCTCACGTGATTGGTAGTAGTTAATAATAGAGAGTGCTTTCTTTTAAAATATCCCAACCCAAAAACATTTTAAGGAGTTTAGAGTGCCAAATATTCTTTCTTAGGCTCCAAATACAAAAATATTGATGTTGGGGCAGAAAGGTGATGTCCATATCAAGCAGAAGCTACCAATCACAGTAGCGTAGGAGGATCACACTGTGAAAGCTCAATCTCTTGAAACTGCCTAAGAAAGCTTGTATGTTGGAACTGTTCATTAAGAGTTTTATTTGCCAGTTGTCACCCGTAAGAGTTGTAGACTTGTAGGAGTAGCCTTAAAGAAGGGTTCTTCTGCTACATAGCCAAAAGAGTTGTAGCCTTGTAGGGTTGGGCCTTACAGTGTTTCAAGATTAAAGATATGGACTTCATAGGAAGTTCTTAAGAAAGCTTTTGCTTTGACTTTGAACTGATGTAGCTTTTAGACATGGGAACCTAATGTCATTAGCATTACAGTTGAGTACTAATGACGAATCATTATTCTTGAGAAGCTTGGAGCTGATAATTATGTGTCTGAATCTCCATCTATAGACCTGTAAATGCAAGATGTTAGAAATTACTATTGCTTACGTTGTTTCTGTTGTGGGAGATGGTAATGGGGATGTCTGCCTCCCTAGGTGAGTTATCAAGAACCTGAAGATAACAAAGCTCTCTGTTTATAATTAGGTTGAATACTTTGAGATTTATGATACTAGTGGTGCAATAGAGAAGGGAACTCCTTTAGCAGGACAGCTTTTAGGTAGCATATTAAAAGTTTTAAATTTTGAGAGGTTGATTCCGACTTCCAGGATGGATTAGAGAATTTGAGACTTTGAAATCAAAATTATGAAAGCCATAGCCTCAAAATATTTTCACAATAGGAATTTGATGTAATAATGTATTAATGTTTACCTTTCCCCTTTTTCTCTATTGAGGACTTCTTGCTCTCTTATTTTGCTCTTTTAAGTTTTCTATGGAGGAAAAAACAAAAATACTTTTATATCTTATATAGAGAAAAAAAAAATTCTTTGCCTTTCATTCAGAAGATCAACTAAGCTTCTAAGCTTAACTTCCTCTGTTCAAAGATATTTGTATCTGTTACTTTGTTGAATGAAGGCATAGAAGAGAACTAGAGATGTATTCTTGCAATTTTTTTGACAAGGGCTTCTTGTAACAAGGGCTTTTTGTAACAAATGCTGTTAGCTTCAAAACAAATGATTATCTTTGAACTTTAAATTTGAAGAAAACTGGTTCATTATTTATGTGTTGAGTTCATTTGGTTCTGCCATATTAATCTAACTTAGGTAGTTGGACAGTTTGTGAGATGAGCTATTTAGATAGAATCTTTCCTACAACTTTGGGGGTACTTTGTAACTAAACCTTTTTTTTTTTTTTTTAATATAAGAGTTGTCTAAATAAAATGGTAAGATCTTCTGAAGAACTGGAGAGTTTTGTCAGCAATCTAATCTATCTAATATATATATAAAGGGGAGTTTTTTCCCGAGTTTTCAGAGTGCCACGTAGGATTTTATTTTTTAAAAAATTATTAGAGCGCCATTTAGGATTAATATTTTTAAAACGCACAATCGGATTATGCCACGTAAGATTAGTTTTTTTAAAGCGCTACGTAGGATTATAATAATAAAAAAAACGCCACGTAGGAATAATAATTTTAAAACACTACAATAGGATTATGCCACGTAAGATTAATTTTAGAGCGTCACATAAGAAAATGTTATATTTTAGCCAATGAAAAAAAGAATTACAATTTATTTTAGATCAAAAATTTTATATTAATTATAAAAATAAAATCAGGGCGTTTTTTGTGTGGCTGGCCATATCGTGTGGCCGACTAGGACAAACCCAAACACTGTAACCCTGATTAATCGAGTAACCCTTGATTAACCAAGTAACTTCTGACCAAGTAATCCCGATCACACGGTGTGACCAGTCACATATGAAAAATAAAATATTATCTTTTTATATTATGAATTTCATCTAAATATAAGAAACAACATTAATAATTTATTTGATAATAAAAAATTCAAGTAGTAAGCAAGCGGATATCACAAAGTTTATTAGATAAATATACATTTAGTAAAATATTTTATTTGAAAAAATACAAACAAACCGTGCATCACAGTACAAGACTTCATCTAGTGGTGTAGTATTTGAAGATCTGAGTAGTAAGGGGACTAAGTAAACAGACCAAGTTTGCATGATAGTAAAAAAAAAAAACAGCATTCCATACAAATTTAAATCTAAACTAGGTTTTTGGCTGGTTGCAATGCAAGGTCTGTATATAACAAAATTGGTTTAAGTTTTGACTTCAAGAGTAAAATAACCAAAAAATGATTAAGATTGTGGCAATAGGAGGAACTGCATAGTTGGGATTAATTCATCTAATAATAAATCATTACCTATACAAATCCCTAACTCTGTTAAATTCATCTATTCCATTTATTGAGTTATCATCTGATCAATTTTTGGTTTTTATTGTTCTTTTAAACTATTGAATCAAAATTGGAAAGGGAGGAAAGAGAATCGAGAATTGATATCAAATAACCGAGAGGATGAATTTGAAAGTTTTAAGGAATTTAAGGATTAGGAAGCAATGTACGTTGACGTTTTGGAGGAGAAGACGAAAGGGAAGAAACGAGGAGACTAGGTAATACAAAAAATTCTTGGTATAGAGATAGAATAGGTATAGATTAGTTTTTGGTCCAATTTACATGGCACATATGCATTTCTTAAGCTTTAAACTTCATTTTTATCCTTTGTTTTACATTTATAAATATGGATATTGCTCTTTTCTCCCTAGACCTTAAGACTAAGTACTGACTGATACTTTTGAGTCAATGTACCTGATTTGACCGGCATCTTAATTAATACTAATGTAAATGAATTGATGTTAAAGTCAAACATTTCAAGTTTCATTATACATGAAGCTAGGATTGGCCATGACTTGACTTGCTACAAAATCAGATTGACTAATTTCAGCTTTGATGTGCTGATTTCTTTGTGTTAATATTGCTTTAGTTGTATCAAATGATTAAGAGTTTAGCCTTGAATGAGGCAAGCCTAGCAATTTGATTAGACCCGCACTTATTGCTTGGATTACTATTTACAACTTGTTTAAGCTATTGTTTGGATATGTATGAAGTCAAGGTATCAATAAAAGTTGTCACCTATGTTAACAAGTTGTTACGCTAGTCTTTGTTGCCAATTGCTATGAGACGTTTGGTATATTGTCAAGATATCCTAGTTTGTGAATTTAATGGTTGATGTAGGAAAGGTTTTTAGTCTCCTAATTGTCATTGATACAAGTTTAGAAAGTTAGTAAACTTTATTGACATATTGTATAAATTAGTTTTTTGCAAGTGTATGCCCTCAACAAATAGCTTGTAGAATTTATCTGTAGGGGCTTGTACTGTAATTTATATTTGACCAGTGTTTGGTGATTTTAAGGTTGATAACCCTTATGAAAGAGATTTTGAGAAAACTTCAATACAAACAACAATGATGAGGAAGAAAATGTCATGAAATACATTATGCTTGTGATCTCGTATTTCTCTCATGGGAATTGTCAACCTAAAGAGTTATTAATTCTTTTCCATTTTAATTTTTTATTTTTTGAGTGAAATTTCTAGATCAAAGGTTAGTTACTTATGAGTCTAAAGATAGTAATTTTATTTGAGTCTCTTAAATTAGATTCATTACTTCAATTTGTGTTTGAGATCAGTTACCTCAAGCAAGTTCAACCTAATGTAGTTCAAGCTTACTAGTACTTTTTTTTTGAGACAATACTTCAGTGAGCTTAATTATAATGATGTTTTCAATAATACCTTGTGTATACTAAGATAAAAACAGTTTTCATATGAGAAGACTCTATAAATGACATAAAACAGTAATTTCAAAAGGGCATGGGTAAGTTGATAAAATAAAGAAGTTTTGGCGTTTTGTGTATAAACTCATCTTATTCTAATATTACACGCTTCTATTGGTTCTCATGAAAAATATATACTAGTATATATAGAGTTTGATACTATGAATATATTTATTTAGTGTCAAACCCACCTCCCCTAAATCATGTAAGA